AATCAGTTAAAAATAACAACGGCTGCTCAGATGGTTCATCGCTTGCGGGCTGCTCACAAAGTCTGTCTCACAGCCTGTTGCAGAGAATGTCTGTCTCACAGTCTCTTTCACAAATTGAGCATAGAAGAGAAGGTCTGTCCCAAAACTTTGATGCAGAGAAGAGAAAGTTTATCCCAAAAAGTGAGCGTAGAAGAGAAAGTCTGTACTAAAACGTGACGCCTGGAAGAGAAGGTCTGTACCAAAACGTGACGAACAGAAAAGAAGGTCTGCACCAAAACGTGACGCCTAGAAAAGAAGGTCTGCACCAAAACGTGACGCCTAGAAGAGAAGGTCTGTACCAAAACGTGACGCGTAGAAGAGTAGGTCTGTACCAAAATGTGACGCCTAGAAGAGAAAGTCTGTACCAAAACGTGACGCCTAGAAGAGAAGGTCTGTACCAAAACGTGACGCCTAGAAAAGAAGGTATGTACCAAAACGTGACGCCTAGAAGAGAAGGTCAGTACCAAAACATGACGCCTATGAACAAAGAAATATGTCCCTAAACTCGATGCATAGAAGAGAAGGTTTATCCTAAAATGTGACGCTTAGAAATAAGGTGTGTCCCAAAACTGGATGCATAAAAAAGAAGGTCCTAAAACTTGATGCATAAAAAAAGAAGGTATGTCCCAAAACTTGATGCATGAAAAAAGAAGGTATGTCCCAAAATGTGATGTATAAAAAAGAAGGTATGTCCCAAAACTTGATGCATAAAAAAGAAGGTATGTCCCAAAACTTGATGCATAAAAAAGAAGGTATGTCCCAAAACTTGATGCATAAAAAAGAAGGTATGTCCCAAAAGTTGATGCATAGAAGAGAAGGTTTGTCCCAAAAGTTGATGCATAGAAGACAAGGTCTGTCCTAAAAGTTGATGAATAGAAGACAAGGTATGTCATAAAAGTTGATGCATAGAAGACAAGGTTTGTCCTGGAAGCTGATGTACAGAAGACAAGGTCTGTCCCAGAAACTGATGTATAGAAGAGAGATGTGTCCTATGATTTGATGAATAGACATGTGTGTTTTACATAATATGTTCCTGCAACATCTGTGTAAACCACATCCGCACACTCCAAACTATATGGGACATTCGTGTACAACGCCGTAAATTCTAAAGTATATGTCTCTGAGATACTCCAGTACAGCCCCGTATTTTATAAACTATATGTCTTGGGACATACAGCAGCTTCGCATTTTCAGACTATACGTCTCTGGAACAGCCTCGAATACCAGCTCTGCACATTATAAACCTTAAGTATCTGTGACATCATTGTTGAAGAACCACGCATTTTCCAAACTAAATATCTCGGGGACATTACTGTTCAACAACCCCACAAATATTCTAAACTAACAACATCTGCGTCTGTCTTCCAGTTTGTGGCCAGACTGTTTTACACTCGCGTTCATCTCTGCGCGTTTCAAAGGAATCCTGCTTCTCTCTAATCCCCTCGTCTGCTTCTCAAAACGTCGCCATTGATCAAAAAGTGTCTAAAGAACAGTTTATCGCTCGGACATTTGCGAGACAATAAACAGAAGCTGTTTACTTCTTTCCTGCCGCAATTTTATCGACCGCACGGTTAAACATCAGCCAGCTGTCCGCGGACAAACAATAATTACGTGTGGGTGGGTATAAAGCGTCGTTGGACAACCTGGCAATGGCGCCGGTATCTGGAAGATTCGGCTCAGGTGGAAGTATCTCTCCTAAAAATATATAGAAATTTTTTTGCCCGGGCAATGTCGGTGTGTTTGGAAGTGAGCAGGCAGATAGGTTGGCTGGACTGGCCCCACTAGAGAGTGTACTGTAAATGCACAAGAGAGAAATGATCTCTCGAAAGGGAGAGGTGCCAGCAAGGTGCCTAGGAAGAGGTAATATGTAAAAAGGAGATAATGAACACCCGTAACTGGAGAAAATGATGCAGCGGGGAGTGTCTGTGGGTTCTGGGCGCCACTCGAGACTTGGGAGGAAGGGCAAGACGAGAAGCTAACCAGATGACAACGGATACTATCAGTATGCAGACTCTTTGCTGGCTGTTGAAGGGTGCGAGGGCGCTAAAATGGACTTGGCCTGAATGGCGTGGTGGCGAATCTTTATCCAGATGTATATAAATTCTCTTTTGATGTATTTGCTTATGCATTTCACTTTCTTTAAAGTATTATATTTATCTGCAACTTAGCATAGTATTACTAATACGACTATTATTATTACGCACTTTAACAGATACTATGGTTTGGACATGTATGCAGCACGGGAGAGAATAAGTTACCAAGGCAGGAATGGGAAGCCAAAAACTAGAGAATGCAACCACCTGGGCGACCCAGGGTTCTCTGGGAAGACAACATTGGAAATCCCTGATTGACGGAAGACTGGAATGGAAAAGAAAAGCCAGAAAGAAAACCACAGATAGAAAAGTCTGGCGATCTTTCCTGGCAAACCTCTAGACCCCAGGTTAGAAAAGGATCGACTCCTTTAGTCCAACTCTTTTGCAAGATCGCTGGCTCCCACCCCACCCAGGTCTCGGTCTCCTCCATATTTTCATTGTGTCAGCGCTCCTGCAACTTGTCTTGTCATATACAAGCCAATCATTATTCCAGTTTTATAAGCTTTTATTAAACACGTTTTTTTTAATTACCGTAACAACTACGACCACTGAATCAATAGAACTCCGACATTTGTGCCAGTACGTTAGGTGTCATGTCCATAGTGAAAGTTGGCTTCAATAAAACTAATTCTTGTCTGATCACTGACTGACTTCATAGCACACCGGGCACATCCATAAATGCTCCCTCTCGAGGAGCAAATGTCTTAAGATGTAGATATCTGTTCTTGTAGCACACTGATTATACACACGTCGTTCTCTTCCTCTCATACGTTCCTCCTTGCATGATCGACAATTCACACATTCTGACACTTGTTACTTCATGTAACCTCGTGTCTTCAATCGACATTCATTCATACATAGTCTTCAGAATGTCTCTTTTGTCCAGTACAAGTGTTCTCTTTCTTGTATACTGTCTACGATTCTGTTTTTCCAAATGTTCCCATTGTTTAATTTTCACTGTTTGTTTGTGCTCAGCTTTCTGCACCACACACAACTGCGTGAGTATAGACAATATGCGTGAGTATAGACACGGCTCGCTTGTGGATCGGAAAGTCCTGATGGAGCCGAACTTTTTCAAAAATGACCTTAGCTCCGAGCCTAAAGCAAAGGCGGCCGGCATTATGTTGACCACTTCACTCACCAAGTGCCTATTGGTCTACAAAATATAAGCCTAGCCCTAAATGCCCAGTTTGCATAAAAGTGTGGGAAAAGGTCCTTTACTTTATTTATTTATTAGATGTGACCTACGTGAATTAATATTATTTGTGGCCATCATAGTTTGTTTTCGATGTTTGTTTCACTTATGCTATCGTCTGTTATATCATTAACGATGACTCTAACAAGCATGCCGTAAAAGGCAACTAATTACAGTGGTTTTTTTCATCAAAGTCGGAGTGTGTTTGCCTGAGAGAAGAGATTTCAACACTCTGCATACAAACAAGCTAGACGTGTAAAACGGATGTGCAGGCATTAATTAAAGTCAGGAACAAGAAAAAAGCCCAGATCTGTGGGCGAACAACCAGAATGTTCCGCCCGAGTGACTGGAGAAAGAGGAATAAGGTGAAAAGGCGGCGGGGAGGAGATGGGGGAGGAAGAGGGTGATGATGATGATGCAAGTGAAGGAGATAAAGTAGTAGTAGTGTTGGTAGTAGGGCTGTACCGAATATTCTCTTCGTATTCGCTTCGGGGCCGAATAGTGGACCTAATGACTATTCGGTATTTGGCCGAATGGTTGCGATCGGGCCGAATACGAATAGTGGTTACCTTACTCCCGTTTCTGCATACACTGCGATAGACTGAAATAACTCTCTCATTAACACAATAGTTGCTGTTGCCTAAGTCTGTCGTAGCGGGGGAAACTGTGACCTGGCTGCGAAGTACAAAATGCATAAAATGCCAACCGCAGTGTGTGTGTGTGTGTGCGCGCGCTTGTGTGTGTGAGAGTGTGTTTGTGTGAGAGAGGTAGAGAGAGAGAGAGAGAGAGAGAGAGAGAGAGAGAGAGAGAGATCATGCATTTTTCGTTCTTTCAGGGTGTCTTCGCCCAAATCAAATTTGAAGATATTGCTAAAGAGAATGTGAAGTGCATTTAAATTACATCAAACGAACGGCCGAGCGAACGATGGTTTTGAAAGAGGCGAGAGCCCGAAGACAACTAATCACAGACATCAGAAGGAGACTGCTGTCGTCATTTTCAGCCATGTAATGAGAAGACGGAAAATAGAACATTTTGTGACCACTGGAAAGATCTGTGGAAGGAGAGATAGAGGAAGACAACGAGAGAAGATTCTGGACAGTCTTGTTGCATGGCATGGAGGTGTGTCAGCACACGAACTAATACATGCTGCAGCAGATTGTGGAGAGGCACGATCGCCCACGCCAGTAGACAAGGCACCTGGTGATGATGATACACTATTCGTATTCGTATTCGGCCGAATAGTTGGTCCCACTATTCGTATTCGGCCGAATAGTGAAAATCACAATTCGGTACAGCCCTAGTTGGTAGTAGTTGTAGTAGTAGTTGAAGCAGTGGTACTGGTAATGGAGGTGGTAGTGGTAGAAGAAGAAGAAGAAGAAGAAGAAGAAGAAGAAGAAGAAGAAGAAGAAGAAGAAGAAGAGACTTTAAAGGTAATATACGAGTCATACTCGTACAGTCACTGCTATAAACAAGGATTTTACCAATCGCCAGCCACCCACGCCTTACAGGACAACATAATCCCAAATGTACCCACAAGGTAAACAGTGAGCGAAGTCACTTCACAAATTTAACCATCACAACAATTTAAATCAGAACAAAGCGAAAGTTTCCGGATTAAATTCGATAAACTACACGAACGTAATTCCACTACAACTGACCAAATTCTCACTTACCTCTCGACCATCGGTTACTATCCAAGAAATCACACATGTAGTTATGTCCCCACAGCCACTTGTAAGCAGCACAATGCACACATCCTGTAAACTGATCCAAGTCGATGAGCTTGGCTTGAACCCCCCTGACTTCAACTATCACTGACTATTGGGTGGGACCTGGCTTGCCGTTATTCCCCCGCCTGTATCGACAACTCCAAACTCTGCCCGCTATTGGTTCAACTCAAGGATTAATTCAATAAAATCGAGGTCAAAGTTCGTATAAAGAAAACGCGTTTGACAAGACCTGGTGTTTTTTCTCGGGGTCATGAACGGGGGTTTCTGTGGACCCAGACATATTAGATACGACAGTGAAATTAGCAGTGATGGAAATATGGCTGGATGCAGTGAAGTTGCTGTCAACATTTGAATATGCTGAACACTAGCAGTGGCAAGGCAGCTCAATGATGAAGAAGGATAAAAATACGCATATAATAAAGAAATGTTTCGTTGAAAGTCTTCAACAATCAACACTGCACGAGTGAAATTAGCATCACAGGAACAATGATAACTGGGTAAAGAAAGTTTGTTGCATATCTTTACAGGACGTTGAATACAACTCCCAGTTTTTGTTTCGCTTTTGGCGGTTAATATGACGTTCAGAAGTTTGTAATAAGTATTAGTTACTCATTATTCTTTCCGTCCTTTTTAGGACGAAATTTTTGTTTATATGAAGCCCAACCCTGGCTCTTGCCAGGGGCCGCAATATAGCCTGGGCATAAATATGACCTGAAGGCTGAACGCAATTTCTGGGACCTCTCCACAGTGATCCTCATCCACATGGTGGCACATTGTGTTATCGGGTGTTTATCGCTTGTGTGATGTCCTGGTGGGATAGAAAGACAGTCAGTCGTTTAGTTACTCTGTATGGGCTTTGAGACCCTACTGGAAAAGTGGGGGGGGGGGGGCGCATAACTGCCTCCTTGATAATCATGTCGTAAAAAGCGACTAATTAGAGGTGTTGCCATCGACATTAGAAAGGTTACATGGATGTGCACGCAAAACTCAATTTCTGAAACAAGACTGAAATCCAGAAGTGGAAGAACAAATAGTATTTTTCGCCAGTGCATGCGAAGATTATGATCTGACCCTGTCTGTATCCTAACTCCAGCAGCTCCTGGTGCGGTCGTTGGTTTCCAATGAGATGTTTTACTTTTCTGAACTCCTGGTGCCCTATCCGGATGTTAGACAAACTAAACCCACTCTACTGTGGTTGTCCCTTCAACTTTTTCTACCATGTCTTCTTCAAGTTTTACCATTTCGGGAGTCGACGGAGATATAAGGGCTGCAACCCCCCCCCCCCCCCCCCCCCCCACGGACATATGTGTCGCAGAACCCACATGAGGATATGCTGTATATCATGTTTGAGTTGGAGGGCGGGTGGAGAGAGGGGGTCTTTAGGATAAATGGATTAAATAATTACATAGAACACAAACGGTCATTGTGCGTCCATACTTTGCCAATATTCGACCACAAACAGGGAAACTCCACAGGTCACGGGACAGTCTAATATTTCAGGGGGAACTCTTTAGGCCGTCGAAATATTACATGTATATATATATATATATATAATGAACAAACACATGTATTAATCGGCATTCATGAAGTAGTAGAAAGATAGAACAACATACTAGACAACATACAGACACATTTTTAGGGTGCCTAGTTAGTCGTGTTCTTAGTATACTTGTTTCCACAGCGAGGCGCACATGCCACCTGAAGGTGAAAGGTTCGATTCCCGGCATAGTAACTAAAGCTTTCGATTTTTATGTTGTCTAGTGCGTCCTATCTTTCTACAAGTGCCAAATAATACAATATCTGCTCATTTCAGAAAGTTCATGGCAATGAAGACTGAACACAAGCCGCTGAAGAGACGCCGCCGGAAGAAGAAACGTGTCAAAACCTTGGCAACACCTTAGAGGACACATAGAAGGCGGGAAACCCGCTCTTATCCCTTAAAAAATATTGGACTGTCCCGTGACATAATCGCAGGTCGATATTGGGAAAGAACCGCAGAATCTGATCAGGAGAATAGGGATTTTCTGTCCAACACATGTATATGTGTGTGTGTTGGACAATGGGCAGGCTGTTAGTGCCTCTGGGCATCTATTTTATGTTGAAGCAGATGCGATAAAGGCTCTATTTATCAGGTGGACAAAGCAATAGAACTGAGTATCCATGCCATACTTAGCTGGAGGTGAGCGGAAAATGCTCAACACTGAGAGGGAACACACGGACTTTTAATCAGGTTGTTACTGAGTAATTCTATAGCTGCTGATGGAGGGGGCGGCGCACACGTGGGAATGGCCAGAGGGCAGTGATGTCAATTCTGGATTCACTCATTCATTCAGCAGCAGAAACAAACAGCTCATCTTCCATAATACATAACAGAATTTACATGTTTTCATGAGAAAAACCCATCATATACAAGAAAAACAAACACAAAAAGAAACATCATTTGAAAGAAGCCTGTCATTTAGGGATGGCGTAGAGGCAGTTGTGGAAAAATGCCAAAAAAGGACTCAGTGCGCTTAAGGTTATGACAGTAATGGATATGGAACAACAAATGTTGTTCACAATATTCCAGCATTCGATTCTGTCAGTGATAGATAATGGACTTGTAATGCTTACCAAATCAAAGCGTCAGCTGATGAAACTTGAACGAATAAAGAATGAAGCCAAGAGGGTAATTTTGGGATTTACAAGAGATACCCTGTTAGTATGTATGTGATATATACTAGCTGTGCCAACTACTACAGATAGGCTTAAAGTGATGCAAGCTAAGTCGTATCTCAAAGTAGCCACAGATAAGAAATACCTCCTGCATGAAGCCCTAGACACAGCCAAGGGTCACAGAATGAAAAGAGAGAGGTCTTGTATGGCGAAAGCTGAAGACACCATCAGACACGTGTGCAGACTTGATAACACTGGGGGAGAAGAGTAGTCACTCAGAATGTCCCATCAAAAGTCAGACTTGTTGTTCTGATCACACTGGGCCATGAGTGCAGGGACTTGCCAGTGGGCGCTGCAGAATCAGAGCCTTGAAAAAAAAGATTCATGACAATTTTTGCCAGATGATGTGATTATCTACACAGACGGCACTGTGTTGAGTGGCAGACAAATCGCATTGGGGGGGGGGGGGGGGGGGGTTTGTGTCCTAGCAAAAGTGAATGAACATCACATAGAACAACAAAGCTTGGCATATGACCCAACATCATCTAGTTTGAGAATGGAGGTGAAGGCAGTCACTGCAGCCTTTCGCTGGCTTCAGAATCAGCTGTACACACATCTTAATTGTAACTGACTCACAGAGCATGTTGGGAAAGGTGGAGACTGGTATGCTCCGTGAAAAGTGGCAAGCATCACTTCAGAGGTGCCGGGTAGTTAGAATCCTCTGGATATTTTCCCCAGGGTGTGCCGGTGTATTAGGAAATGAACAGGCAGGTGGACTGTTTGCTTCTGCACAACTTGGTGAAGTGATGCAAGACAAGCTAGATTTTGTAAGGGCTTTTTGAGGTGAGTGAACAGTGTGGAAACACAGATGGATCATTATGGCCTGAAGAGAACGGCACTGCAAGGAGTGACCAGGGGATCTGATTGATGATCAGCACACAAGGAGAAAGGGAAGATGGATATACAATCAGACGGCTACTGGTACCAATGAAAATAGAACTCTGCAGTTGCTGCTGAAGATGGGTATGCAGTGGTTATGGGAATGTCCCCAGTGCTGTCATGTCGATTCTTAACTTAACATTAAACGAAACACACAAGCCAGATTGGTTAAAAAAAACAAGACCTATTATAAGCAATGTGGTCACAATTTATTAGATCCTGAATGAGACAAGATGGTTGCACGATCTTAGTGTGAATGACCCTGGTACTGTCTACATCCACGCAGTCATTCATGTTTAACAAAGGGCAGGCACCACAGCTTCCTGGACAAACCCACATAGGCTCGTCTCCCTCAGCAGAATTCTCTCGAATGTAGCTGCTGACTGCTCCAGTAGCATTACCAGTTTAAAGTAATTAAAGGACCCATTTTCCCACCAATGAGACATCAAGCATATGAGGCCAGACTCCTATTTCACTGACCAATTGGAGATCTGTGGATGATGTGGTTAACCCAGGACTTTACCTGGTACCCAAGGTCTTCTTACACCAGATGTAGGTATTTCACAAGGGTTCCTTTGTCTGTCCCTGCTGGCATAAAATTCAATATAAAATGGCTACCCAATTCCTTGTGTAGGTACCAGGGGGAGGACATGAAGATGTCAAAGGGAATTAACGAGGGTTTGCAGAAATCAGATGTGTTGGGCAGAAGGGTTCAGATATCACAGCCTAGCTGTAAATCACAACACAGCACGCCGACCACTCTTTTACAGGGAAATGCAGCAGCAGAAGAAGCTCCTTAAGTAGGTGGCTCGATCTGTTTCTATGGCTTCACCCAGCAGTCCCAAATATCTTTAAAACGGTTGTCTCTTCAAGCTCCTTCTCTGTTCACTTCTCACAAACCTTAATCATTTGTTCCTATGATGCAGCAGTCAGCTAAACAATGGTTCATCTTGTGCCACTGTTGCCACCTTCCCATCTTTCTAGATGACAGCATTATACTGTGCTACTGGGAGGCCTGGGGCTCACAGCCCCTAGAGATGGTGAGTGTGACTAGCAAGACCTGCTTGTGTTAACAAATGTCTTCCACAATTAGTGCATCAGATTTCAGGACCACTGCTGCCACTGTTTGTATTTAGTGGGCTGCTCCTCAGAGGGTCAACTCTCAACCTTTCTGCAGTCGTTTTCTCCTTTATGCCTATTCCCTTTCGCACTGTTCCTCTCCATGCAGTACGGGTTGTGGCATTTGGTTCCCACACCTGTATCATTCATGTCCCCATTGCTCACATCTGTATACTGTAGGAGAGGCAACCTCAATATTTTCTACCCACCTGTGATTCCTTTGTGACTCTACCACCCTCCAAGCGTGATCTAAGCATCTGTGCCTTAGAAGACTGAGCACTGACAGCATAGATCTGTCTCCTTGAATCTTCCTATTAGTTTTCTTTGTTCAAGAAAGCCATGCTGACATACCAGTTCTACTAACTGATTAGTCTTGTTGAAAGACAGCAACAGTAAAATCTGGACAGTAGACACAATGGCACTATAATAATGTCGTCATCATTATGTGCCTTCTCATCATCTGCAACCCCAGAAAATCCAAAGTTCTTGTTTGTTCCATCTGTGTCTCTAAATAATCCAGGTTATTTATCTCTCCTGTATTCCTCTTTCTCTCTTTTCCTCAAGCATGCCAGCTGTCACCAAGTTTTTGAGTTTATGATAAGGGAAAATGCCAGCAGAAACAGGCATACATGCTTCTGGAAAATGACCAACTGGCAAAATTCAAGGTTACTAGTGCAAACTGGCATGTCACTTGATGATAACTTCACCTCTCAACATCAAGTGTCTTTACTCACTTTATTTACTACATTTTGGAGAGAGAGTGTGTGTCTGTGTGTGTGTGTGAGGGTGGGGGGGGGGGGAGATGGAGCTTGAGCCTGAATGTACAGGGTTACATTGATAGTGCAAACATTATAAATTGTACAGTTAACAATTTTTTTATCTACCCCTGACATGATTTTAAAAAAGTGTCAGCATGGTACCTACTTTTCCAATGATTTAAAACTGGGTTTGCCACACACAAACCAGAAACGTAAACACTCCAAACTGAACTAGTTTATTTTCTGTTGCCATTCCTTTATAAGAATATATGGGCAAATGTTGGGAAAGGAACAAAGCACCTCACCTCCCTAAACAAACAACAATCTGTCCATCAGTCTTCAAACGCTACACCCTGACTAAGTGCATGAAAATGTCCGTAACAACAACAGGGAAAAGGAAGTAGCCAACATGATCATCAGTCACACTTGTGACGGCTCCCGGAGACTTGAATGAATATATGTACATGTGAACAATGACGATGATGATGGTGGAGTAGTGAAGATAATGTGACAACATTTAATCAAATCGGCGAGCCTTCCTGTCTGTCTCGAACTGCATCCTATAGGGAAGATATTGTAAATACATGGTTTAATTTAATGTCAACCTTTTCATCTTAACTAAGAATTACCGTAAAAAAATTTGGTTAATTTTAGACCACATCATAAATCTTAAATCGTACTTCCAAAATGATTGCGATCACATGGGTTAATTTTAGTGAACTTGTAAATCTTAAATTTCAGTTCAATAATGAACCACTGACAAAATCACAAATTAAGTACAGTGAAACCCTGGCTAGCGAGTGATCCAGCAAACAAATGTTTTAGTGGATGACTGACATAAAACAGTCAGAGTGGTTTGAAACCTGTAGAAAACCACATTTTGGCTAATGAAGGGTTTCACCAGAGAATGTGATTCTGGAACAAATTATCTTCATCAGCCAAGGTATCACCATTTAAGCCTTTTTGGCACATCAGCATGCTATATCTATATTTAAGAAAAGGTGATAACAGACAATGTGAAAACCACAAAGGCATATCCCTCCTCAGCGTTCCTGGTAAAAGTTCCTCTAGAATTCTCGAGCAGAGACTTAGAAGTCTGGTAGAGCCACAGTTGGATGAGGCCCAATGTGGCTTCAGAGCTAACCGAAGTACTCAAGGCCTTATCTTCACACTGAGACAGATGAGTGAAAAAGCCCTTGAATATAAGAGTGAAATGCACCTATGTTTTCTGGATATGGATAAGGCATTTGACAAGGTACACTGGAACAAGCTCTGGGGCTGCTTGGCAGGGAAAACATCCCAGCACACCCAATCAGTGCAATACAGAGTTTCTACAAAAGCTGCAGAAATTATGTAAGAATGGCAGACCAAAAGTCAGAAGAATTTAAGACCACCAGCGGTGTTAGATGAGGTGATATTCTCTCACCTTACCTCTTCATTCTTGTGATAGATAATGTCAACAAGACCTGTAGTGAGAAGACAAAGAAGTACTCTGTAGGGTACTGAAAGATGAGACTGATCTGTATATCACAGCTGGCATTTGTTGACGATGTGGCCCTGATAGCTAAATCAGAGGCACACCTTCAGTCCAACTTACTTGTCTGGAAGGAAGAGCTTGAGAAAAGAGGGATGATCATCAGTATCTTCAATACTAAAACCATGGTGATCTCAAGAGAGAAGAAAAAACACCAGATCATGATGGTACAGTATGCATTGGAGCAGGTCAACCAGTTCAAATACCTTGGAGTTGTACTAGACCGAAATGGAGGCATTAAGACTGAGCTGGCTACACAAAAGCAGCTGCTGGGAGACTCTTCCAGGCCATAAACCGAGTGTTTCTTAGCAAAAGAGAAATTGGCAAGAGGACGAAAATGACTGTTTACCGCTCTACCTATGTACCAGTCCTAACCTATGGGTGTGAGTCATGGGCAATGACAACAGCTCACAGAAGCCAGCTTCAGGCCTCAGAAATGAGATATCTGAGAAAGGTGGTCCAAGTGACAAGAAGGGACAAAGTCCGCAATTAGACAATACGTCAAGATTTTGATACCCAGTCTTTACAAACCTGAATGGATCAGTCACAGTTACGATGGTTTGGACATGTATGCAGAATGGGAGAAAATCGGCCACCATGGCAGACATAGGAGGCTAAGAACCAAAGAACCAGACCTCCAGGGCGACCCAGGGTGCGCTGGAAAAACAACATCCGACAGTCCCTAACTGACAGAGGACTGGAATGGAACAAAGCCAGAAAGAAAAGGGCTGATAGACGTCTGGCGATCTCTCTGTCAAACCTCTACATCCCAAGGTAGAAGAGGAGCGACTAAGTAAGTAAGTGTACGATGCTAGTTTTAATTTTATAGATATGAAAAGATACAAAACCAAAGGAAATCAGATTAGTGGAAGTAGTTGTTGTTATCGATCCAGCGGCGCATGAGCTTTCGCCCTTTGGCCCAATGCCATGTAGTGGAATTTGCATGTTTTCACAAGCTGTTCTTTTCCTCAGTGGAAGTAGTAGATTGGAAGTAGAAGTAGATCAGATTAGTTTTAGAGAGCAACAGGCACCCTATGGGTGATGTAGTCGACACCAAGCTGGCTGCCTTTACCTCCCAGGGTACCCATTTTTTGGCTGGGCAACCTGACAGCCAAGGTCAAGACTGAAAAAAGAAATCTGCCCTGATGCAGGTTCAAACTCAACGCCTTTGGGCAGTAAAATGAACATGGGTCAAAATGTTTAACAAAAAAATTTGATCATTTCTTCTTTTCTTGTCTTATGCAATTTCTCAATACATCAGATTTCAACAATCTCTTAATCAGTCTTCATTTATGATAAGCTTTTTAAAGAGAGGTTTGTGCTATTTTTATTTTTTATTTCTTTTAAATGGATTCATTTAAACTTGACAAATTCAAGACACGGTTTTATAGACGAATGATGAAAATACCCTGGACAGATAAAAAGAGTAATGAGATGTCTTGAAAGAAAGTGACTCACAAAGAGAACTGATTGCCCACATCGGACAGTGATAATCTATATTCTTTGGTCATGTGATGAGAAGGAGACAACTGGAGTACATCGAGACAATAGGAAAGCTGGAGGGGGAGAGAGAAAGAAACACAGAGAGACCGAGAGAGGAGATGCTGGACAGTTTGACATCATGGCATAGAGGATTATCTGTATCAGAGCTGACTGAAAATACAGGAGAGAGAAGATTGTCAACAGACACAGCTACCAAAGCCACATGGGATGGACTTCAAGAGGAAGAAGAATTCCAGAAAGATAAACAATATACATGTCTGGACAACGGCTGGAATCAACAGTTATAAGTTGAAGAAGCTGACAAGATATACTGGAAACATCCTGGGGTAAAGCCGACAAGAGAATCAACAGACAGTGAAAGAGGAAACAAATGACAGACAGACAAACAGAAAGAGAGAACTTTATTTTCAAACAATGAAAACTGGGCACGTAGGCCCGTTTTACATTCGGCCTTTTCATGAACTCATCTTTGATATATGACAACTACACTTCATATATAAATACTATTATATTCACATATGAAAATTCATAGTAAGGATGTAAACTAAAAAATATAAAAGCATCAATGGCAACTGCATATCTTTGAATATACATGCAAAAATACACACACACAGCACAGAAACATATGAGAGAGATACAGAGAGAGAGATAAACAGACAGACAGGCACAGACAGGGATGGACAGCTAGGCAAGTAAAGACAAAGGCACAGACTGACAGAGACACAACACCAGACAGAGCACGTGAGGCTACCCACCCGGAATCTCTCCTCCAAGAGAGATATCTCTGAGATGAGATCTGTGATGGCGTTGGTCATGGCTTCTTGTGGGGTGTAGTCAGGGGTGGTTTGAATCCGCAGAACAAACTTATGTTCCAGGGGGTGAGGTACCTTATATCCAGCAAACAGAACTTGTGGGTCCTTGAGCAGCTGTCTGTGTGTGTGACAGAGGGGAGAGAGAGGTCACAAGATGCATCCATGGTAACATGGGCAAGTGTCTGAGCATTGGTACTGGGATACTACTTCTTAGCATTCACCGGCTGTGAAGTCGGGTGGAAAGTTCTGGCTGTTTATCCACTTCTGAACTTAAGTCTGGTTCCAGAAGTTGAGGTTTGCATGCACATCCATTTTACAAATATGGCTTATTTGTATGCGGGGTGTGTTCCTTTCCTTTCAGACTGACGCACTCAGACTTCGAAGGGAGCACTCTTATTTAGTCAGCTTGTACGACATGCTTGGTACGGGGCAGTAGATCTATTATATCTGTTTCCCCCTTATGGGATCCTGGAGCCAACATGGGAAGTACTGGGACGCACAAAGTAAAAGACTTGGAGATGCTAGTTTGGGTGGTTATTTTGTGAGCCTAAATATTTCACAAATGGTTAGACAAAAGACTAAAGTTCATACTATAGACAACATTACAGATATAGATAATCAAGGGAATGAAAGAAGAAGATTAGATATTTCACACTGTTTAATTAGCGGAGAGAATGATGATACAGTAGGGGGTGTCTCTTGGCACCACTTGAGACACAGGGAAAGGCCAGACAGGAAGTTAATCAGATGACAACAGGCACAATAAGTACAAAGACTTTTCAACTGGCTGTTGAGGAAGGAGATGAAGCTAATATGGGCTTGTCTTGAATGCTGTGATGTCAAATCTGTACCCAGATGACCCTACTCAGTAAGCCTGTTAGAAGACAAATCATTATCATCACACATCAAACTATTCAGCCCACAGATGCTCAAATCATCCTCTATGTAAATCCTGCAGTGTGTAGAAGCCGATGACACCAGTTTTCTGATAGTTAGATGCAGATTATCATCATAATCACACACGTATACACTCAACCCATAGATCAGGGCTATTCAGCCTGTGGCCCGTAGAGGCTAGCAAGTGGCCCGCAGATCACTGTCAGCTGTACTGTATTAATGATCTTTCTATGCTGGGGTTCAAGCCACTGGCCTGTGACCATCCCCATTTTCAAAATGCTGGCTTCTGAGTAAACTTTGTTGAATAGCCCGACCATAGATGCTCAGACCCCCATCTCAGTCAATCCTGCAGTGTACAGAAGTTGACGACACCAATTCTCTGTTAGTTCATTATCACTGCTTAGCTTCCTGCATAGTTCCCTTATCTGGTCTCAACCTTTTGTATGAGTTAGAAATTCTAACTGTTGAACTCTGACCCTGAAAAAGATTAACTTCTCAAGGCAATCCCCCACAAGGTCAGCTAAAGTTTATAAAAACATTATACTTGGAAGGACACGCACTGAGATAAATCCATGCACACCATTACAGTGTGCAGCAGCAAGTAAAGAACACTGGATACTTATACTTAAACAAGCATCTAAACAACTCACACAGTAATCAGGTTTCCCAGTGTGTGATCTTCCTTATTGACTGTAAAAATTGCTGCATTGGGAACTTTGGAATCTTTCTCGATTGTTATTCTGAAACAAGATAACAATAAATAACATTTAGACAGGCAATCTTATTTCTTGCTTGTGCCATTATCTGCTTTATGCCGTTATGCATCATATTTACTGGATCAAAGGTCACAGTGCGCATGGTTGTGTGGTACACTCTGAGGTCTTAATTAAGCTGTCAGTAACTCCTTCAATCCATGTTTTTTAGGTCTTCATCCACATCTTGGCATTTTCATGTTCATGTTGTAAACTCTTGCCGCTGGCATCACTGGGTTCAATCTCACTACTAATTTTAGTTTTCCTGCGTATCTTAGAAAGCACATCAGGCTAAGTCAACAAAAATATACATATATTAAAACATTACTAACACTGACTGGAACTGGACATCAACTGTGAGATACCATCTACAGAGGAAATAAGATAAGCTATCAATCTTCTGAAGGAAGGAAAGGGGGCAGGTCCAGATGGTATCCCAGCAGAAGCCATTAGGGCCAACACAAACACATCAATTTAGCAAAGTCTGGGAGACTGAAGAAATGCTAGCAGACTGGAGAGAAGTATATCTTGTGAAACTGCCCAAAAAAGGTGATCTACAGGAGTGTGAAAACTAGAGGAATTATGTTGCTGTCAGTTCCTAGAAAAATATTATTAATAAGTAGAATTTTTTTGAAAGATTAAAGCCTTTAAAGGCACATGAATAAAGGAAGGCCAAAACACACATACAGAATAGAGCTGGAGAACGAAGTTAGAAAGATGGGGAGGACATGGGGACACTCCATGCAATAGCAAGGGATATAATGACTTGGCATGAGTTGAGGGCCTATGCTCCATTGGGGGATAGAAAGGCAGAAGAAAGAACACTCAGTAGGTACTTTAGTCAAATTTTTAAAATGTTCTTTACACCAATAAAACCAGCACAGTTAGATAAGCTGTAAACAATCTCTTTCCAACGGTACCTCATTTAGGCTTGTATGTCATTTCTGACCTGAGATGTGTAGGTTTTTGTGGAGATGAGATGTAGAAAGCAGCTGCTAAAACTTGTGACCCAGAAACAAGGTTTTCTCTGCGCACCAAACTGCGCACATATCGTTTTGGCTTTGTTTACATTGAACTGTCATTGGACAAGATGGCAGGCAATGAGACACAGCCACTGGCTGAGCCAGCGATTGCCTGAAAAATGTCACTGTACATCTACCTAGCCACTGTTCAGAAAGAAATTTTATACACAAATGTAAAATTGGACGGAGAATTTAATTATAACTAGCATTGCCAGGACGAGTAACAGTTAAAGCCTAAAGCCAACCTTGAAAAACTTATCGCTATTTTTCAATCAAACTGATGTAACAGAAAAACAGAGGACGTCCGGCTGTCGTAGACATGCGCTGTTAATCTAGCAACTTTGGTCAAATTTTCAAAATCGTTTTATCCTCATAAAACAAGTACAGCTGCCTCCTTATTGAAAAACCCTTTCCAACGGTGCCTCTTTCATGCCTCTATGTCAAGTCTAAGCAGAGTTATTGAAGTTTTTGTGGGAAAAGTTAACAAAGAAGAAATATAAAAGTGAGCTGAAACTTGCTGCCCAGAAATCAGAAGTTTTAGAGTAGTGTTTAAAAACTGCTTTAACTTATAAAGTATTTTAAAAAGACCCTAGAAACTATATATTTTTGGATTCAGGGCAACAAGCTTTAACCGAATAAACATAAAATTTTTAGTAGTTACGCAATATCGACTAATAATTATTCAAAATGGCCGCCATTTATCATAATCATCAGTCGATATGTTCTCGTAAACTTTATAACGGTCTTTTAAAGTATTAAAAATTAAAAATAGACCAAAGATAACAGATACTGTTGTGTTCAGGGCAGCAATGTCTTACTGAATATCTGGAAATTTTTAGGTATTACATCATATCGACTAATATTATTTAAAAATGGCCGCCAATTATCATGAAAAAATATTTTAATTAAAAAAAATTGTAATGTTTTTTTTTTTTTTTTATATGGGAAAACTATTTGCTGTGGGTATATTATATATATCCAGAGCAAATTTTTTTCTCACCCTGATAGAACAATCATGTAAGTCATATGATAATTTTGATTTGATAATTTAAGTCATGCTCTCTGGTCAGTTATTTTTTAATATGGTGTCTAATTTATATTTTTGTTGTTGAATGGTGGAGTCTGAACAGAACAATCAACAAGCCATCAACATATCTGTGCATTAATCTTTATTGTCTATGTATATGTTAATCTGTTTATTAATCACCAATGCCGCTCTTCTCGTAACATGACTAAAAGAAGTTTGTATCTTTCTCACAGGTTTACGTCATGGTAAAAGTCTGAAAAAAAAAGAAAAAAAAATTAGTGAAAAAATGCATATACAAATAATGCAGTAGTCATTTAAAAAACAATTTTTTTAAATAATCGTGCAACAATACATCAGAAAAAAGTCTCCGTCAAAATGTTTGTACGACTTACCTTTTTTCACTCGTCCATGTTTACAAAGCTGACAGTTCTGTAATCATGCAAGACTGAAAAAGGAAAGAAGTAACTATAAATAACATATATATATATACACACACACGCACAAACAATTCAATATAACATTTTAAAACAACAATTTCATTAATTGTGCAACAATACAGCAGAAAAAAGCATTAGCCACAAATGTTTGTACGACTTACCTTTTTCACTCGTCCATGTTTAAAAAGCTGACAGTTCTGTAATCATGCAAGCCTGAAAAAGAAAAAAAAGTAACTATAAATAACATATATATATATACACACACACAAACAATTCAATATAACATTTTAAAACAACAATTTCATTAATTGTGTGTGCATTGATTGAGGTTAATAAGTAAGTAATTGCTATAAAGAAAAAATTACATATATTTTATACTAACAAACCATAAAAAATAAGATAAAGAAATTATAACTACTTATCTTTTTTCACCGTCCATGTCTGGAAGTTTACTTCTGGCTATCCTCAGAATAATGGGCACAAAAACATCCAAAAAGAGCCTCAGTCACGTGTCAGTCGCGCGCTTCCGACGACTTAATTTGCGGTTTTCCTGCGACTACCACCACCGCAAGATTTCCCCACGCCGCTCATGAGGGGCGTAGGGACTCTAAGTGGTGGCGGTAATCGGAAAACCGCAAATTAAGTCGACGGAAGCGCGAAACTGACACATGACTGAGGCCCTGTTTTTGGCCGGCATTGGCCGTCATCTTTTGTACCCGTTATTTGGAGGATAGCCTTACTTCTAACCTTAGAAGCCTGTATCATCCCTGACGCTGTTCTGAAATAATACTAGACAATGTGCTTTATTAAATTGTTAAACAATGCAAGATAAAAGAGAGTGTTACATGACTTTTTTATTACTCTAACATACAAATGCTTAATTTATTTCTATTGCTTTGTTTTATATATGACATTCAGTTTAACAAAATGTCAAATCTCCAGTGGCGAAGTCTGCTAGAAACTGTTTCATTGTCTAGGTGAAGGAGGTCTCTGCTGCTTGTTCCTCGTGCTCCTTCCAAGAACAAAGTTCGATTTCCGTGTTGAGAGGAATTTTCTTTGTGTCCACATTTCTTATCATCTCGAAGTAAACACAGTCCTTTTCTCCATCATTCCAGATGTGCCGCAGTAACACACCTGACAGAGCATTAGTGTCACTAAAAAAATTCCTTAACATATCTTTTGACTCCTCAGCTACACTTTTAAACAAATCTATCTCAAGTATTGCAAACATGGACTTGGATTTTTTAAATTCTGCTGTCAGATCTCTCTCACATTTATCCCTAAGTGCCTTGTCCCACTTTCTAATTTTTCCTGCTGACATTTCTTCTGTACCTCAGACTGCTGCTGCCTCACCTTAGCTCCACGACGAACTGCAAAGTCTACCAGGTACTTTTGGAAGTCGTCATCAAATGTCTGCAGCCATTGCAATGTTTTGTTTTGGGCAGCCTTCACCTTTGCGTCAATGAACCCCATGGTGGCATTGGGAGCTTTTTGCATCACTGAATCCACCCTTGCAAGATTTCTCTCAGCCCCTATGTTATGGAATTCTGCAGATGATGTCTTTTTAATCAATTCAGGAGACGGATTAGATAAGGGCCCATCTAAATAAGGTTTAAACTGCCTATTAAGTGTTTGAATAAAAGCCTCCGCTAAATTTTTGGATACTAAGTTAAAATTTTCACATGGAAACTGAGGTTGGTTCAATGCTGTCTTACGCAAATCCCTACCAAAAGCATCACGTTCCGTTTCTATAAGGTATTCTGGTTTCGCTTCAACTATCTTCAAGCCTTCGAGACAATCCTTCACCTGACTTACTGCTTCTAAATGACCAATTTCACTGTTGTCTGTATATAACAGCTGCATCCAAGGCCCTGTGACAAAACGTGAATATAATCCCAGCACCTGCAAGTGAAGCAGGACTCTCTCGTCTGTCAAGTTTTCATGTATTTTAACACAAAGTAATTTTGGCCGTTTGTGCTCGACAAACTGTGTCAATAAATCTCTGTGCAAATAAATGACCGCTGCCATATGGAACATGACATTCAAACGATTCCCGACATAGCGCTTGAAGATGCTGATATTTTTGTTCTGCAAAAAAGCAATGAATGCACCTGGATCACCAGACCCATCCTTGTGACGCAATTTGGATATCTGGTGAATCAGCATTGCAGCACGACATCCCAAGGCTGTTCTCTGATTGTCTTGCTCTGTAATGTGATCCTTTTCAAGCTTGTACAACACATCACGGGCAGTTCTGGCAAGACCATCCAATGGGTGTACCATACACTTCAGGTCGGCCAAATATCCGATGTCCCCCTGAAGTTTTTGGCTCACACAATGGTTGACAGCAGCTCTGTCCGTCATGGTGCTGTTTATTTTACCTTTCACTGCCTCCTTGAAAGCAGCTACTGGAATCTTAAAAGCGTCACAGTACATCTCAGAAACATCAGATAGAGCCTCAAAGACGTGCCGGTACAGCTGTTCTGTTGTAGACCCTGAAATAACCCTAATATTTAAAGTTAAAGACTGTTTATGACCTGATGTTATAAGAGTCACATGAACTTCATTAATATGGGATCCTTGTCTGGTTGTTGAATCCCATCCCAGTGTAGCAGCTTCGCACTCATGCAGCATCTGGCCAACCTGAATGTTGGCAAGTACCCTAAGTTCATACACCATCTGTGCTACTGTGGATACAGAGGGAACATTTAAAAGAATTTTGTTAAAGACAATTCCTGAAATAGACGATAACACACAAGTGAAATATTTGCAACACTGACATTATGCATCAAGCACTCATAGACTGACTGGCGAAATCTGTGAAAATATTTTCCTGCTTCTTTTGTTTCAATAGTGCGATGATCAGCTAAAGATTCTTCCAGCTTGGCTACTTCATTTTCCAAATATGAAATATGTTCTCTTTCTTTGCGCAGCTTGGTTTTCATTTCTTGAATGTTCAAGGGAAACTTCTTAGACTCCTGTGTGATTTCATCAATTTCCTTTTTTAAACGATCCCTCTCCTTCTCTGTTGTTTTTATTAAACGTTTTGAAATTATAGCCTGCCGTTTCAAACAATTTTTTTCCTCCGCATATGCTTCAAGAGGAGCAACCCTTTTGAGTAACTTTCGATGTGTCCTGCGTTCCAGTCTATTTACTTTTCTCATTTCTGTATATGCTCTCATTATCATGACATATTTAGATCTCCAAAGAGTGGCTGACTGTGATTGCCTCCTGATCTTTTCATTCAGAGTTTTCAAAGACATCTGTTTTCTTTCCTTTCTGTAATGCAGTCTAAGTGTTTTAATCTGCATTCGCAAGCTTTTGTTCTCTTTCAGCATGTTCAGATTTGTCCGCTGCTTGTTGACACAGTTGTCACAGTCCCTTTTTAGACGCTTTGGCGATGGTGACCTAGAGCGCACTAAAAAGGATAAATCGCTATGAACAGAGTCAGAGGTTAACCCCACAACAGCAACCACTGATGGTTCTGAAGTGTGTTGTAAAGGCATTGGTACAGATGTGTGTTCTGGTTGTGTAAACAGTGTGTTTGTATAGTCTGGTTGCATGAGTGCTGTGGAAGTTATAGCCGATGAATCAACTGCTTGTGCTGTATCATCCTGAAACGATATGCCAAATGGCTCTTGGCTTAACCTGATAAAACCATCCCACTGACTCTGAACTGGGTAGCAGATTTTTTTTTTGGTTATGCTCTTTAAATTATTAATAGCACTTAATGTTCGTTGCTCATTTATATGTTTGTCTGGCTCTGCCATCTGCACAATTTCCTTTAATCTTCTGCGAACATCAGAATCAGAAAGTTTGTCATTAACAAGTAACCTTATTACGTAGCCCTTCTGGATTGGATACTCAGGCTCAAAGCTTGCCAGGTGTGCTCTCATATCACTAGCGGTTCTTTTATTTGCCATTGTGAGACAGTAAATCTGCGCAAGGAAAAAAAATTGTTGATAGTGATAGTGGGACTGATACTATACTGATGATGCTGATGCTGAAATTAAAATGTCAGATAATAATATTTCACTGCTGACAAGTAGAAAAATTAGAGTAGACTAATTGAAACAGGCATATAATGAATAATACATTAAATATACAATGAAACAGAAAACAAGTCAAAAAGCAACGTCATCTGTAATGCAGTGTTGCTATGGCAACATGCTTTTGGCAAACCAACCACCCATTCGTTTCTTTGAGACAGATCTGATTAAAATCTGTATATCTAATTATTCCGATCATTGAAAGAGTTAACATTTATCTGAGAACTGTAGAAATGGATAGTGAATTCAACTGTATCTAGCATAATTCTATATCCCAGTATATAACTATAATGTAAAACAAAATAACTAGATGAAATTTTTCAAGAATAGTAGAATCTTGTGGTGACTAGTGTTCCCCATGAAACCCTAGCCACATCAATAAATAATCCCAAATTTCTAATATATAAGATGAAATTATTTAAAGGCTTCAAATAGTGTCAGAATGTACTTAATATAATAAAACAATAATAATAAATGTGCACTTTAACGAGGTTAGAGTACGTTGACTATGAAGACGATTCTCGCCAGGTTTCAAAATGGAGGCTGGCGTGCCACTAGAAATTGACTTTCAAATTATGCACTTCTAAAATGTACTGTGAATTAGTCCCGTAAGTAATACTGATGAAACTTTACACACTAATAGATAAACGGATGCTGAATCTAATTATTCTTAGTAAATTTCTATAGTTTGCCATCAAAACCGTTTACTGATATGGTGATCTTACCTATATATTCACAACGGAACAACGAAAACATACAGTCAACCACAGATTTTAGCTTACCATGTGCTCGCAACTGAACATAAAGCCTGTCGTTCGAGCTATTTATAGCTAGGGAAACCCCATGATTTAGCGTGCTTTTCAAACGAATTTAGGCCACCCCGAATCGCGCCGAAGTTTTCCGTAAGCACATTTTTGCTAGATCGGTGACGTCATCATTATTCAAAGGTCACGTGCCGGGGGCGTGTCCGTAGTCGCTACCGTATGGGATCAAATGTTACATTTAGGTGTGTCACCACACCTCCCACATCCCTGTGTGATCAAATGTTACATTTAGGTGTGTCACCACACACCTCTCACATCCTTGTGGGATCAAATGTTACATTTAGGTGTGTCACCATACACCTCTCACATCCGTGTGGGATCAAATGTTACATCTTTCCCGTGTGAATTCTGAGGCCCCACGTCAGAGGGGGGATCTCATGCCAGCCTAACAAGCATGTTGTAAAAGTCAAACCCATTTTAGGCTTCCTTCAAAGGCGGAGTGCATCTGCCTGAGGCAATGAACTAACAGCCTGCATACAAATTGCAAGAAAAACTCAAGTTCTGGAACAAAACTGAAGTCTAGAAGTGATCAAACAACCAGAATTTCCTGCCAGAGTTTACAGCCAGTACATGTGAAGAAAAATTACTTCACATTACTGTATAATTAGGTGATCGTGGTCCATTCACTAATCTTGGCTCCCATGAGTAAAGCATTATATGCTCGATGCAACACTGGAATAATAAGAGCTGTAACTAAACAAAAAAATGTTTAACCACATGGGAGACAAGTTAAACTTTACAAACTGTATAGATACAATTGCCTCAGGAAAATTATGAACCCAAAATGGGATGAATTCAAAAGTGTTGACAAAATAAGAGAAATGTCTGAGCAACCACTGGTATCAAAAGTTTTAAGGCAGAAAAGATGACGATATCTTAGACACAAGAATATAACCGAATATCGTCTATTCATTACCAACTGTGTGCATTCAGAATGTCATTTATGTCTTACATATGAAAAACCCCTAGCAACCAGTCAGCACACAGAGGAGACAATATCCCACTGAAAACAGATGAACAGTCACCAAACAGGCACTAAAATGAGAAATTAATGGATTGTGAAAATGAACATGTCCAAGAGAAACCTGAAGACAAATGATGATTGAGGTCAAAGGTGCTGAACTGGATTGCATCCATATCATAATATCAAAGTAACTGTATAGCACAGAATGGAATAAATAAACAGACTGCCTGCCCTAAGGCAGATACGGTCAAGGCCTTTTGGGAACAAGCAACGGAATCACTAGAAATAGAAGATTATTATGGCCTGGAGAAAATGAGGCATCTGGTTGTAACCAGAGGGTTTGGCCAGCTCACTAAACTCAGAGGAAAGGCAAGACGGACATATAACCAGATTGTGACCGGTATCATCAGTACCGCAACTCTGCGCTGGCTGCTGAGGATGAGGACAGAGCATGAATGGGAATGCCCTGAGTGCTGTGATGTCAATTCTTGACTCAACACAACTGTCAGCTCTAGGTAACATATAATGGCACAGTAAGACAATGAATGAATAACCAGATACACACCATTTAAAAGTTTTAAAGCCTCCTCTTTGGTCCTTGTGATCTGTTCTCCTTTCCAATTCTGTGGTCGTCGTGAATCTCTGTGTTTCACCAACAGGTGAGAGCATGTCACTTTACCAGACATTTCTTCCGCAGGTTCGGTTGGTGTCTCCCACTGACTCTCCTTTGTGTAGATGTTCAAATAGTAGTCTTTACCTTTATCACACACAAAAGAAAGCATACGTGTCAACCTTTATCACACACACAAAAAGCATATGTAAACCTTTATCACACACAAAAGAAAGCATACGTGTCAACCTTTATCACACATTAAAAAAAGCATATGTAAACCTTTATCACACACAAAAGAAACCATACATAAACCTTTATCACACACAAAAGAAAGCATCCCCCACGTGGGTTCCGGGGCCCCATTGTGCGGAAAACAAGAATAGACCCACTGCCTCCCCAAAAGCATGTCGTAAGAGTTGACTAATTGGGGAGCTTCCTTTGAAGTCGGAGTGCATCTGCCGGAGAGGCAGTCTGTATTCAAGATAATAAGATCTGTAAAACTGATGCACACGCAACACTCAGGTTCTGGAGCAGGACTGCAGTTCAGTAGTGGACGAGCAACCAGAACTTTCCGCCAGAGTGTACAGCTTGTGAACGCGACGAAAAAGAAGAAGAAAAGAAAGCATAAGTAAACATTAATCACTCACAAAAGAAGGCATACGTAAACCTTTATCACACACAAAAGAAAGCATACATAAACCTTTATCACACACAAAAGAAGGCATACGTAAACCTTTATCACACACAAAAGAAAGCATATGTAAAATCACACACAAAAGAAAGCAGGCCTCTTTATCACACACAAAAGAAAGCATACATAAACCTTTATCACACAAGAAAGTATACAATATAAACCTTTATTTTATTATACAACAGAAAGTATCTATTCAACTTCCTTTGGCTATCCTCTGAATTACAGTCCTAAATTATCAAGGCCGAAAATATACCCTAACAGGGCCTCAGTCACATGTCAACTGCGGGCTTCGGGCGACTTAAATAGCTCACTTCCAGTGACTACCGCCACGAGTATCTGCTAAACGCGGCATGGATTGGAGCTAAACTAGATGGCTGGGACTCACGAGCAGCAGCTTCTGCATCTCCCTTCATTTTATTTGCTTATTTAGTCCCAGCCATCTATGATCTAGTTTAGCTCTGCTCCACGCTGCGCATAACGGCATGGGAGATACTGAACTCTCGCTCGGCGTTGGTGGCGGTAGTTGCCAGAAGTCCGTAATTCACATGTGGCTGAGGCCCTGTTAGGGTATATTTTCGGCCCTGATAATTTGGGACCGTTATTCTAATTCGGAGGATCGCCCTTCATTTATCACACACATAAAAAAAGCATGTGTAAATTATCAACACAAAAGAAAGCATGTGCAAACCTTTATCTCAGACAAACGAATACAATATTAAATAAAATAATATTCTAAAAATAAAACAGGAAAGAGATTCAGCAGTTTGCAACCATTTCCTTTTATTAAAATTTGTTAAAACAATCGGCTTTGCTTTTTTAATAAACAGGTTTAAGATTACAATTTACAGCAAAAATTAAATTATGTGCCGGGCTGAATGCGACTGTGGAGCTCCGAAGTGGGTGCCGGTTACCACCAGACATAAAACGTTGCATTAGCGTTTATGACATGGACTCAGCTAGAGTACAGTGGACGCTTGTTTGAAATCCGTTATATTATAATGATATGATTATGGATGAGCTTAACGTCTTCACAAAGACGTAGCTGAACAGACTGACAGTATTTAAATTAGTTTTAGTTTATTTAAAATAATTTATGAAACAACAGATTCATTCAATCATTCATAATTCATCCAGTCAATCACAATCCGCCATTCATTGTTGAAATGTATTTTAATTAAATTATTATTTTAATTTTACTTATTTAATATAATTATATTATGTTATTCATATTGCCAGAATAATTTGTTCTGTATATTCAAAGATAAACAAGTATTTATCACGTAAACTGAGGACAGCCGGTGTGACTGTGTCAGGCTGGCAACCTACCCGAGGATCTGCTTGTTCGTTTTTCCCAACCAGGCGGCAGACTGGACATCTTTTCTTTATAGAAACTCTGGGGCTGGTGGAGTTATCTTCCCCACCAGACAGACCGCGGAGTGGCGTCCCCTGTTTGCTTCCGCCCAGGCACTGGTCGGTTACTTAGGTCTGATCCGTGGTTATGGTGATCATGTGGAATGGAAAAACATAACAGCCTACACTTATTAGCATTGTATATGAGGATGACGATGATGATAATTTATTGCTACGAAAAGTACCCCCTCCCCCCCCCCCCCACAAACACTTTTTTTAGTTCACCTTCTCCAGATGTTGAAGTTTTGTAAATGTAACAAACTCTCAGAGCGTGCTTCAGAAAAATGAAACTGGTGTCCTGTGCGCATAGTGGCTTGCCTCAATAAGGATAAGACCCGGGTCATGGATTTTATTTACATGATATTCGGGTGTGTGAGGTAACGAACAGACTGATGGATTAGCTGTTACCGCTTCTCTAGGCAGTGAGGTACTATGTGATAAAGCGGATTAGCTGCTGCCGCTTCTCTGGGGGATGAGCTAGTATATGATAAAGCAGATCTGATGAAGGCTTTATGGACAGTGTAAAAGAACAGATAGAGAATCCATACACCAAAAGACCAATTCAGCCGGGGGAGGGGAGGGGGGGTTCTGGCATATTCAACACTGGGGGGGGGGGACAAAGTCGGACTTTTAATCAGGCTGCAACTGGTACCATTAATATGTCAACTCGTCGTGGGCTACTGAAGAAGGGGACGGAGCACGTGTGGGAATGTCCCGAGTGTAGTGATGTCAGTTCTTCATTCATTCATTCATTTGCCTCCAGACTTGAAATTTGTAGATTACACATCTCAAGGATGAGAATCCAACTGCTACAAATTGGGAAATCCCGTTCATCTGTTTGACTATATAGGTGTGCTTTTTCTAGGCAAATTTACGTCCGGTAGTTTGTCATTGCTTTCTGGACAGTTGGCTTTCTTGATACCACTGTCGAAGCCCGCAGCTGTGATCGAACCCGGCACCCGGCATTACGAAGCGTTCGCATCGACTTGGCCACAAAGCTGACTGTTTAGCTTTATAACACAGCTATATTGAGGAAATGATTACCATATGTAGTTCAGCGGAAGTGTGTTGGAAACGAGAGAAGCAGCTGGGCAGCGCGCTTGTTTCTTGTTTGCGACACCCGACATTTATTTCCTTCATTTAGTTGTGGACAATAATAAAATCCAAACCTGCACGGTTCTTAGAAACTCCACAAGCCATAGGACCTCCCCGGTGCCCTAACCATGTCCTACGTGGCTCTTGTTTATTTTTAAGGTGTTCTTTCGGTATACCTGGGCTCTGAGAACCTTCCCCCCGGATCGCCCTCAATCTTTTTTTTTTTTTCACTAATTCTCCATTTGTTTTGTTTTTCCTTTGTTTATTTCTATGCCCCTGTGGGTTCCAGTGCAAAGACATTCTATTTATATTGTTCTCGCGTTTTCTCAAGGTCCACTGGAACTTATTAGGTTCTCTTCCAAAGCTCTACATTAGTGATTCTATCATAACATTAAATGCCCTCTATTCTGCACAGGCACCAGTTAACGAATGTCTGTAGTTTACTAGTAATTGCCTTAGTTGTTCTCCATGTTTCCTCTCCATACAATAGTACTGTTTTGAGATTAGAATTACACATTTTAAGTTAAGTATTAGTATTAATTTCTTTTGATGTCAACAAACTTCCTAGTGCTGTGAAAGCGCCTCTTGCTTTTTTTTTATACATACTTTAATATCTATGTCAGCCCCCCCCCCCCCTTCTTATCTAAATTACTACCCAAATAGATGTACGACTCCATGGCGACCGGTCATTTCCTGCAGTACTCTATCTTTTCGTATGGACTTTAAAAATATACATAAGAATCGTCGCCGGAGCTACAGGGCACGTGCTCTGCGCTTGACACTTTATTCAGCGGTTAGTGAAGAGGGAGTGAGGAGGAGACGACGAGGAAATGGGGAGAGAAGAAGGCATAGAAATAGGAGGGCGGGTGCTAGGAAAACAAAGCGAAAAGCGGAGAGATTGAGTTTCAATCATGTAAGAGTGGGATACTGGAACTGTCAGAGTGTTATGCAGAGAGGTCCTGTACTGGAGAGGTTGATTTTTTATTTTGATGTCATGATGCTCCAGGAGTTAAATACAGACAGATATTATTGCCCTGGGTACGTCAGTTATATAAACCCTGTTGGACAGGAGAGACATGGACAAGGTCTGGTGGTGAAGGAGGGAGTGAAGCATGTGGTGCTTGACTTGAGCCAGTGGAACCACAGTGGACGAGAGGTTCAAGGGATACAGGTGGAGATTGGTGGCTTAAGTTGGAACCTCATAAATATATATGCCACGGTAGACTGTTTTGTCAGAAGTGAACTATGGAGCTGGCTCAAGGAATTGGAGGAGTTACCAGGTGATAGGTTACTCATATGTGGGGATTTCAACACGAGGAACAGAGAATGGGACAGCAGTGGAGAAAACGGACAGGGAATTGCTCTTGCAGAGGCCATGGTTGACTCCGATATGGTCTGCATCAATGATGGGAGGCCGACTAGAATGGCAATGAGGCCTGGAGATGCAGACACAACCATTGACTTGACATTTGTCTCTCAGTCGTCGGTTTTAGATGTTAAATGGACTGTCCTGAATGACCATGGAAGTGATCACCTACCATGTTCAGTCTTGATTTCTAAACACAGTAAGGTTAAGGTTGGGAGAGCACGCAAGACCTTCCAGTATAAGTGGACCAACAACCTACTTGGACGCCTCAGACAGGGAGCATGCAAAAGAACTGCCAGAACTAATTTTCTACAGCCCCCATTGTGGACTCCAGAAGTAGAACAGGCATGGAAGGCAAAGAGAGCCGCAGTGAAGCAGCTAAAGAAAGTACGACAGACACCCTCAAGCTCACGATAGGAAGTGGAGATGGCGGAGAATGTGAAAAAAATATAATGTGGAGGTTTTCAAGCGCTGTGCTGCAGAGGCCAAAAGAGCAAAGTGGGAAACTTTTGTGAATGACATGGGAGGCGATAAAACATTGGGGAAATTCTGGAAACTGCAAAGGCAGGTGCAAAGAAAAGATCGGCCTATGACAATCGGAACAATTTGTAGAGACGATGGTCTGCGTGTGACAACAGAAGGAGAAAGGGGATGCTTTTCTCCATAGGTTTATAGCTCAGACAGATCATAATGATGTAGACATCAGGGATGCAGTTAGAAAGGAGTTAGCTGGCACCTTGAAAAATATGCATTTTGAAGACTTGATACAAGTGGAAGATAACAAACAAATTTTGAAAAAAAGCAAAAGACACTGCACCAGGGCCTGATGGTTTCAGGTATGGTCACATGAAGGCTTTGGGCGATGTAGACCTGGCAGAGATGGCCGACTGTTTTAACCAGAGTATTAAGACAGCATCAGTACTGCAAGACTGGGTGCACAGCTATCTAATCCCACTACCAAAACCTTTTAAAGATCATTCGTAGCTTAGTGGCTTTAGAATCATCACCTTACAAAACACATTTGGGAAGGTCTTAGAGAAGATAGTTGCTGTAAAGTTACAAGAATTTTTGTAAAGGGGGAAGCTTCTCCCAAGATGTCTGTTAAGTTACAGGCCAGGAAAGGACACTTGGGCAAATGCGGCCACTTTTGCTTTTGACGTATATTAAGGGTTCCAGAACAGACAGGAAACTATGGCGGTAGGACTGGATCTCGAGGATGCTTATAACAGAGTGAGATACGACATCTTAATGACTGCACTGAGGGAGAAGGAGGTCAATCCATTGCTGGTGAATTGGTTTGCAGCTGTCCTGTATTCACATCGGGTTGCTCTCCGACTGGGCTCATGGACCTCTGAACCATGCACTTTGGCCCCAGGACTGCCACAGGGATCCGCCATCTCGCCTGTGCTCTTCAACGTGTATACGAGCAAGATTGCAAGCCTAGAAGCACCAGGAGTTGGACGGATACTGACTTTTGCGGATGATATACTTGCATATAGGCAGGGGGAAGAGAGGGAACAAACTGCTCGGGAGCTACAAGCGACATTAGATAAAGTGACTGAGTGGTGTACAGAAATGAAGGCTGTCGTCCACCCGGAAAAGGCGTCTGTTTTGTGGTGTTCTCTGGACAACAAAATTGTTAAAACTAATGTCCCAAGTCTCACGATAGATGGTAGAAACCTCAACAGAGAGAGCAGACTGAAGTATCTGGGAATTACATTTGACAGGAGCCTGTCATTTAAGGACCACGTGGAGAGTGTTGTGACGAGATGCCAAAAAGGACTTTGTGCACTTAAGACTATGGCTGCAATTGACATAGAGCAGACAATGCTTTTCACACTATATCAGTACCTGATCCTGTCAGTGGTGGATTATGGCCTGGGACTGCTTACCGTCTCAAAGAGTCAGATGGACAAACTAGAGGGCATACAGAACGCGGCTATGCGGGTCATTCTGGGTTGCACCAGAGACACCCCAGTGGTGTGTATGCGATACATCCTTGGTTTGCCGACGGTTGCAGGTAGGCACAAGGTGATGCATGAGAAGTCATATCTCAGGGTAGCTGCAGACACAGACCACCCTCTGCATGAAGCTCTGGGTGCAGTTAAGGGTCAGCGGCTGATAAGAGGGAGGTCATGGATGGCTCAGGCAGAAGACACAATCAGACAGGTTTGCATCCTTGAAAACATTAGGCGAGGAGAGGAGTGGGTCAAAGTGCCACCTGAGCAGTCAGACTTGTGTAGAGTCATAATCACGCTGAGCCGGGAATGCAGAGACTGGCCAGCAGGTGCCACAGAGGTGGAAATTCAGCAATTAATTCAAGATAATGCTCGCTCAGAGGATTTGATCATTTACACAGACGGTTCAGTGCCAAGAGGCAAAAGAAGTGCTTGGGGCTTTTTAGCAAAAGTTAATGGTCGACGTTTGGTGCAGCAGAGCCTAGCATGTGATACCACAACATCCAGCTTAAGAATGGAGGTGGAGGCGGTCACTGCAGCTTTCCGCTGGCTAGAGAACACGACACACACACACACACATTGTAAATGTAACAGACTCAGAAAGCATGCTGAGGAAGATCAGAACAGGTATGCTTCGTGCAGAGTGGCATGCTTTGCTGCGGAGGACACGAGTGAGGAGTATTGTCTGGATTTTTTCACCGGGTCACACAGGTGTGTTGGGAAATGAACAGGCGGACAGACTGGCTGGCTCTGCACAACTTAGTGGAATACTGATACATGATAGGGCAGACGTGGTTAGTGCCTTGTGGGAGAGCGTGTACAATGCAAAGGAGCAGATGGATCACCAGTTTGGTGAGATTGATGCAGTTGGGGGTGACGAGAGGTTCTGGCAGAAGCTCAAGGCTCAGAGGAAAGGCAAGACGGACATTTAATCAGAAAGCTACTGGCACCATTAGTATCGGAACTCTTCGCTGGCTGCTGAAGATGGAGATGGAGCGCTTATGGAAATGCCCCGGGTGCTGTGATGTCAGTTCTTGAATCAATTCAATAAAATCATGTACGACTCCAAGTCTTGGCGTGGGATACCAGTAAGAGAAACCACATTACTATTTGCCTGATTTATTCTCATTATCTTTGTCTTTTCTTTGTGGATTTGCAACCAAACTGCTGTGACCTCGTATCATGTATGTTTATCTTGCACCTGGTCAAAAAGAGACAAAAAAGGGACAAAAGAGAAATCTCATCAGTAAAGACTAGATTATCAAGTTGTTTTGTAGGGGTCCACTGAATTTCATTTCTGTTGTTAGCAGTTGCTGTGTTCATAATTCAGTCTATTGCCAGTTTTAAAAAAAATATCAGAGGCGACAAAAGACCCACTTTTTTTTTTTTTTTTTTGGCTGGTGTATCTGTTAGCTTTCACCCCATGAAGAATTTGACATTATATGTTCCTCTGGAATGTGCAATCTTTATGATATGGATGGAATCCAGTCTGGCACCTTTGACCCCACTCATCAAAGTTTGTCTTAATATTTATTTTGGCCTTCCTCGTTTCCTTAATTCATTTGCTTTTTATTCTTGTGCCTATTCGCAATCCGGTTTAGCCAACTACGCTAGAGAGCCGGGCGTAAGACCAAATAAATATTGTTCTTTATCAGCCCTTATCTGCTTTCTTTTTTCTCTAATAAACAACATCTTTCTATGGGTCCTATTGTGGAGAAAACAAGAATAGACCCACTACCTTTCCCTACAGCCATGTCCTAAGAGTCAACTAGCTGGGGGCATCCTTCGAAGTAGAGTTCATCTACCTCAGAGGCAAGGAATCAAGAGTCTGCACACAAATAAGCCAGATATGTAAAACAGATGTGCACACAACACTCAGGTTTTGGAATAAAACTAAAGTCTGGAAGTGGATGAACACGCAGAACTTTCCACCGGAGTTTACAGCTGGTGAATGTGAAGAAGAAGAAGAAATGATTGCAATACTGATCCTGAAATCTCAGGCACTTATTATTATGGAAGATTCTTTTAACCTGAACAGACAGCCATAGACTAAATCCCATAGCCATAGACAGAATCCCACAGCCATAAACTGAACCCCATGCATTTCTGTAGTATGATAGAACACTATAATCTGGAAAGACAAAAAAAAGTGCCAATAGGTCATCATCATTTTCATCAATTTCCACTTCTGCCGTTAAGCCTTGTGGGGAGGAACAGTTTGCGATCCAATCCTTGATGGGCAGCAATGACTACTGTCATTCTGTGTCGATGTAGGCGCTCTTTAATGTTGTCAGTCCATGTTCACCTAGGACAGCCTCTTGCTTCCACTTCGGATATTTTCATGTATAGCGCTTGCATTGACAGTTGTTCTGGCTGCATTCTTACTACATGACCAAAACATTTGATCTTGTTTGGCAATGAATTTGCTGCATGGTGTTGTTCCTATAGGTGACGTACATATATCTGCTTCTTCTTCTTAGTGTTTGGTTTTTGCATGCTTAGGTCAGACCACTGAGTGGGTTTGCCTCTATGAATCCCCATGTCAGCTGCAATTCATCCATGGTTCCCCATAGCTTGCTCAGTGCACTCTGCCTCTATGAATTCGCATGTCAGCAGCAAGTCATCCATGGTTCCTCATAGCTTGCTCAGTGCACTCTGCTCTGAAGACTAAGTGTACATGCCTCTATGAATCCCCATGTCAGCTGCAAGTCATCCATGGTTCCCCATAGCTTGCTCAGTGCACTCTGCTCTGAAGAGAAGAAAGTGTACATGCCTCTATGAATCTCCATGTCAGCTGCAAGTCATCCATGGTTCCCCATAACTTGCTCAGTGCACTCTGCTCTGAAGAGAAGAAAGTGTACATGCCTCTATGAATCTCCATGTCAGCTGCAAGTCATCCATGGTTCCCCATAACTTGCTCAGTGCACTCTGCTCTGAAGACCCAATGTACATGCCTCTATGAATCCCCATGTCAGCTGCAAGTCATCCATGGTTCCTCATAACTTGCTCAGTGCACTCTGCTCTGAAGACCCAGTGTACAAAGAATTTAATAAACCAAACATTTGTGGCTCTGACAAATATTTTATTTACATTTGCTCATGAAAAAAACTGCCTTCAGTAACACACACTTCTTTCTTCTTATATACACTGTAACCAGAAATCCATATCGAAGTAACAATAACAAATTACATTACTTCAATGATCATTATCCCCATGCGAGGATCCGAGACCAGATCCCAGAGGCAAATGAATGGACCCCCTGTCTCTTAACAAGCATGTCATAAAAGGCTGACCCCCCCCCCCCCGTGTGGGTTCCGGAGCCCCATTGTGGGGAAACAAGAATAGACCCACTGCCTCCCCAAAAGCATGTCGTAAGAGTCGACTAATTGGGGAGCTTCCTTTGAAGTCGGAGTGCATCTGCCGGAGAGACAAGGAACCAACAGTCTGTATTCAAGAGAATGAGATCTGTAAAACTGATGCACACTCAACACTCAGGTTCTGGAGCAGGACTGCAGTTCAGTAGTGGACGAGCAACCAGAACCTTCCGCCAGAGTTTACAGCAGGCGAACGCGAAGAAGAAGAAGAAGAAAAGGCTGACTACTCAAGGATTTGCTGAAATTGAATGTGCTGCATCAAAAGGTGCGAATATCACAGCCTAGCTGTGAACCACAACACAACATGCCAGTCACCCATTTTAGAGGCAAATGCAGGAGGAGGGGAAGAATGATCACTCAAACCTTATCTTTCAGAACTGTTAACACTAGGCTCATTTTTTTTTAAACTGTCCATTTTCAAGCACGCAGTCAGGGCCAGTGGTCAGTGCAGAGTCTTCCAGAAGATCCTGGCCATGGTCAATCATGAGCTGATCTTCAGGTAAGTAGCCAGCGGAATGATCAGGAGGCAGCAGCTCCACCTTCTCGGCTTGGGTCCCCACAAACATCCTATCTGGCGTTAAAAGGTCCATATTACTGTCAATATTGTCAACAATATGGTCAAGATGCCACTGACGAGATATCAGGGCTCTCTGGGTGTCAAAGAAGCCATACCGCAATCGACGAATGCCGCTGCAGACAGCTGTGGTTTTCAACTTAAGGGCAAGTTCGTGGACCAAACATCGGAGATACTGACATGTTTCATTAATGCAGTGTATTTCTGTGGATGAAAATAAATTAAAAAATTTTTTTTAAAGTTTTTCTATGTAACACTTAAAAAATATATATATAAACACACTTTATTAATATAATGTGTTTCTGGGGATTAAAAAATATTTCAATTAAAAACAAAAATGTCAGTATTATTAAAAACTGGAACATATTTCATTAATGCAAAATTTGTCTGAGGACTAAAAGAAGAATATGAGCACACAAAAAAAAGAGTTTTTCTAAATATAATTGAAGACTTAACACATTTCACTAATGCGTCTGCTTTGGTATTAAAAGACATATTTTTGTTGACCTGCTCATTAAGCTAAAACACTACTTAACAAAACTATTCTTTTCAAGCTTAAAGACACAACAGAAACTATCCTCATCAAGTTAAAACACGCAATGAAACTATCCTTATCAAACTGCAGTGCTGTTATACATCACATAAGGCCCAGTTTAGCTCTTCACTCAGTTCTTTCCTGTGCAATCCTGAAACCATGTACAGAATCCTGATACCATGTATAGAATCCTGATACCATGTATAGAATCCTAAAACCATGTATAGAATCCTGATACCATGTATAGAATCTTGATACCATGTAAAGAATCCTGAAACCATGTATAGAATCCTGAAACCATGTACAAATTCCTGAAACCATGTACAGAATCCTGAAACCATGTATAGAATCCTGATACCATGTACAGAATCCTGATACCATGTACAGAATCCTGATACCATGTATTGAATCCTGATACGATGTATAGAATCTTGAAACCATGTATAGAATCCTGAAACCATGTATAGAATCCTGATACGATGTATAGAATCCTGAAACCATGTATAGAATCCTGATACCATGTACAGAATCCTGATACCATGTACAGAATCCTGATCCCATGTACAGAATCCTAATACCATGTATTGAATCCTGATACGATGTATAGAATCTTGAAACCATGTATAGAATCCTGAAACCATGTATAGAATCCTGATACGATGTATAGAATCCTGAAACCATGTACAGAATCCTGATACCATGTATAGAATCCTGAAACCATGTACATAATCCTGATACCATGTATAGAATCCTGATACCATGTATAGAATCCTGAAACCATGAATAGAATCTTGATACCATGTACAGAATCCTGAAACCATGTATAGAATCCTGATACCATGTATAGAATCCTGATACCACGTATAGAATTCAGCCCAGCACCTTTGACCTCCCTCAACAACATTTGTCTTAGGATTTATCCTCAGTCCATTTGTTTCCCATTATAGTGCCCATTTAGTGATTCTCTGTCCACTTCTCCTCATGTTACTCCCAATACATTGCCATTTTCACCTCCTCACAACTGTTGACACCAGCAACTGTACAGATCTTTCTCTTATTTCTGCATCTTTCTTGAACTCATCCCTTAATGTTCATCAATTTCCTCTGGAATCTGTTTATGAATGCATTTAATTTTTACTCCTCCCCGTGTGGGTTCCGGGGCCATATTTTAGGGAAAACAAGAATAGACCCACTACCTACATAAAAGCATGTCGTAAGAGTCGACTAATTGGAAGCTTGCTTCGAAGTCGGAGTGCATCTGCCTGAGAGGCAAGGAACCAGCAGTCTGCATACAAATGAGTCAGATCTGTACAACGGATGCACACGCAACACTCAGGTTCTGGAACAGGACTACAGTCCAGAAGTCGGTGAACAACCAGAACTTTCCTCCAGAGTTTACAGCTAGTGAAAATTTTTACTCCACGTCATTAGTGCTGCTCCAACTGTCAAAGATATTTGTTAAATTTTGAAAAACATTAGAATTTAAAAAGTAACTTGGTTTTGAAACTATATAAAACTATGGAGGCAAAAAATTTTATGGGTGACAATTCTTTGGATGATAATAAAATTGGATGATAATAATACAGTTGGTGTCAATAATACTAACCAAGAGTAAAATCAGGAGGCTGAAAATCTATACACTTGACTCCATACAGAACAGGCTCACTTTTCCGGGCAGAAGGTCTAATCAGACCCTGGGCTGCCATTTCGTATGCTTCTTGACTGTCAGGGTTCACACCATGCAACCTGGCAATAAGAATAGTGTAAAACAAACAATACAGATTATATGCATGTGAGATATGGACACTGAGTAGGCCTTTTTGAAAAGAATGATAGACAAACATTTACTTATAGTGTGATTTCTGAGAAGAATTCAAAGAACACCGCGTAATGATAGGAAAATAAAAGACATACTCGAGACACACACAAAACACATCATAAACTTATTATTATTTGAGGTTGAATTACCCTTTCATAGGGGTCGCATAAGACCATCAAAAAACACATGTTCACTTAAGTTATGAAGTGGCAACAAAAGTAATTCAATGGCGGGGGGTCATTACAACAACATGAGGAACTGTTTTAAAGGGTTGCAGTATTAGGAAGGTTGAGAACCACTGGCCAAGACTCATATTTCTGGTAGACCAAGCGGTGTTCACTGGGTGATGTGGTCAACATCGATGCTGATCACATTGACTTTCCAGGATCTTACCTGGCACCCATTTGGATCAACCTGCGAGCCAAGGTCAATTTTTGAAACACAAAAATCTGGCTCGGTGTGGATTCAAACCTAAGTCTTTGGAGAGTGTCCAGCCATTATAGCACCATGGCTCCCAGACCAAAGTCTAGAAGTGGATGAACAACCAGAACGCTCCACCTGAGTTTACAGCAGCTGAACACAAACATGAAGAAGAGAAGCAGCTCTCAATTAGATAAGACCCGCAGACTCCTTGTGTTTTTTTCTCCAAAGGTCTGCCACGAACATCATATTTTTTAACAGTCATATTTACACACATACACCCACACACAATCTATATTAGAATCGCAAAGAGAGTGGAGAATTTTCTTTGTAAAGGGGGGGGGGAATGCTGACATCACAGACCCATTAATTTTGGAATAACTGATCTTTAACATCTTCATCAGCATCTGTCTACAATTTCTTTGTCCACATCTTCCACTTCTATATCAATGTTTTTTTTTCATCCACTCATTGTTTTATTTAACTCTGTGACAAGACAATGAACACTTCTTTCATTCATAATATTCATTTTCGTCTTCTGCTTTCACCTTTAAAAGGCCGACAGGTTGGTACATCATGATGTGTTTACAGCTAGGCTACAATATATGCATCTTTTAACCCAACACATCTGATTTCAGCAAACCCCTAATAGGTGCCTTTTATGACATGCTTGTCGGGAAAGGGGGGTGGGGGGGATTTAAACCTAAAATTGAGTCTTGAACCCACACAGGAACAGCCACACAATGAAAAATACAGTACAATTTACCTGTACATCTGTCTGGTACGATTTACCTGTACATCTGTCTGGTACGATTTACCTGTACATCTGTCTGGTACGATTTACCTGTACATCTGTCTGGTACGATTTACCTGTACATCTGTCTGGTATGATTTACCTGTACATCTGTCTGGTATGATTTACCTGTACATCTGTCTGGTACAATTTACCTGTACATCTGTCTGGTACAATTTACCTGTACATCTGTCTGGTATGATTTACCTGTACATCTGTCTGGTACAATTTACCTGTACATCTGTCTGGTACGATTTACCTGTACATCTGTCTGGTACGATTTACCTGTACATCTGTCTGGTACGATTTACCTGTACATCTGTCTGGTACGATTTACCTGTACATCTGTCTGGTACGATTTACCTGTACATCTGTCTGGTACAATTTACCTGTACATCTGTCTGGTACAATTTACCTGTACATCAGTCTGGTACGATTTACCTGTACATCTGTCTGGTACGATTTACCTGTACATCTGTCTGGTACGATTTACCTGTACATCTGTCTGGTACGATTTACCTGTACATCTGTCTGGTACAATTTACCTGTACATCTGTCTGGCACAATTTACCTGTACATCTGTCTGGTACAATTTACCTGTACATCTGTCTGGTACAATTTACCTGTACATCTGTCTGGTACAATTTACCTGTACATCTGTCTGGTATGATTTACCTGTACATCTGTCTGGTACAATTTACCTGTACATCTGTCTGGTACGATTTACCTGTACATCTGTCTGGTACGATTTACCTGTACATCTGTCTGGTACAATTTACCTGTACATCTGTCTGGTACAATTTACCTGTACATCTGTCTGGTATGATTTACCTGTACATCTGTCTGGTATGATTTACCTGTTCATCTGTCTGGTATGATTTACCCGTACATCTGTCTGGTACAATTTACCTGTACATCTGTCTGGTACAATTTATCTGTACATCTGTCTGGTACATTTTACCTGTACATCTGTCTGGTACAATTTACCTGTACATCTGTCTGGTACAATTTACCTGTACATCTGTCTGGTACAATTTACCTGTACATCTGTCTGGTACAATTTACCTGTACATCTGTCTGGTACAATTTACCTGTACATCTGTCTGGTATGATTTGCCTGGGCAGCTGCACAGACTTTGTCCAGTTTTGGCCGACTTACATGTTCTGAAGAAAAAAAAACCAGGACAAATCACTATATTAAGTAAAAACATTTATTTTCAGTAAATAAATACTGCACCAATCTCAACTCGTTCTGTTCCAAGCAATGATCTGCTTATGTCTATGTGTATCACCACAACATATCATGTGTTCCTATTTTTTGTTTCATGCTTGATTCTGTGCATTTTTTAAAGAAGAATATTATATAATGTATCTTTAAAAGTCATATACTAATACCTTTGTCACTGTGCGCACTGTACCAGATTAGGCTTCTAGTTTGAAGCCATCTAGGATTGAAGGAGTTACTGTATACAACGGGCTTCAAGGTTAAAGGAATAACTTCACTGCATTCAGTTTGATCCCACTGGTCTCTCACTGCAGAGTGGTTGGTCAGTCATATGTTGAGAGGGTTCCACAAAGGAAGAAACTCTGAAGCTACAGCAATGACCTCATGAGATCTCTAAAACACTTTTACATGCGAACCCGAGTATGGGGCCTGAAACTGAATCCATGGCGGTAAAACTAAACCCATAGTTGTGAAACTGAACCCATGGTTCCAAAATTGAAGCCATGGCTACAAGACTAAACGCTGGGCTCCGAAACTGAATTAATGGTTTCAAGACTAAACCCTTGGCTCCAGAACCAAATCCATGGCTCTGAAACTGAACCCATGGATATGAATACTAACTAATAATAGCATTTACTTGGGTTTTCCTTTGAGCTAAATGGCTTTTTTAAAGCCAAGTTAACGTCAGAGTTTCCTTAAGCCTTGGTGATAGAGGTCACAGGAAACTGAACCCATGGATATGAATACTAACTAATAATAGCATTTACTTGGGTTTTCCTTTGAGCTAAATGGCTTTTTTAAAGCCAAGTTAACGTCAGAGTTTCCTTAAGCCTTGGTGATAGAGGTCACAGGGTCATGGCATGACTCACCGAATACATGATAAGTATATTTTTTTTAAGGTTCTAGGGGATGTATTCGACCATGCTCATGTTTACTGATTGTTTCTTTCATATACCTTTATAAAGTTTTGAAAAACATTTTTTAAATGTATACTAATTAAATAGTGACAGTTGTAAATCTTTTTTTTTTTTTTAACAGATTTCTTTGGGGTCATGACTTTTTTAAAAACATGTTCCCGGGTGAAAGGATTAATTACTTTTAACCCTTCTGCCTGAGAAGGCTAAATCTAGTCATTTCTGGTTTTTACACAGCTCCGTAAATGCCAACATATGCCTATTTTTTCTACAGTGACTTGTTCTAAAAAATAGTAGTTAAATGCCACTGGTTCTGTGTGCGCCTGCACAGTGTTTAGAGCAGAGCGCAGGTTCCTTGCCACTCCAACTTTGAATGCAAGACCCTTAATTAATCGCCTTGCATGACATATTTGTTAGGGAAGCAGTGGGTATACCCCCCCCACCCCCCAACAACAACAAAACGGGGTCCCAGAACTTACACAGGACACTTTAGAATCTGACAGACATTACAAGTGACTATGGTTGCTTACTAAAACTGGTTCTTTCAATGATGTGTCCAACGGGAGTGAAGTTATCAGTTGCCCAGCCAAGCCTGCCTTTCACATGATATACCTAGGAAATCATTTTTTTTTAATATATAAAAATAAAAACACATTAATTCTAGTAAACTCCTGGCAAAATACTAACAATTTCTGCAAGAGCCAAAACACTGCACAGTAGTAACTATAAATGCTTCAGTTCTAGCATAATCATCTCATGCCATGGAGATTGATGGTTTGTTTCTCTGTAAAATCCTGAATCACACACGAGGACCCGAAGAAACAATTCACACAATTACACACACCGGAATAAACAATTCACACAATTGTACAGACTATAAGGAATTAATCACACAATTACACAGACTAGAAGAAACAATTCACACAATTGTACAGACCATAAGGAATTAATCACACAATTACACAGACTAGAAGAAACAATTCACACAATTGTACAGACCATAAGGGATTAATCACACAATTACACAGACTAGAAGAAACAATTCACACAATTGTACAGACCATAAGGAATTAATCACACAATTACACAGACTAGAAGAAACAATTCACACAATTGTACAGACCTTAAGGAATTAATCACACAATTACACAGACTAGAAGAAACAATTACACATGCATCACCACAGATCTTGGTCTTTGGTATTCTGAATCAATTTCAATGATGATATTCCACCATCCCACTGTTTTAAGCCATCCACCATCATTTCTCTTGGTCTGCCTCTGCTACCAGTGATCTTTCCAGCTGTCATGATATTTTCCAGTGCTCCCTTTCTCATCCCATGACCAAATACCCTTGTTTGTTTCCTTATCATTGTCGTATAAAATGTTCTACTTTCATTAGCCATTTCCAGGCAATCACTGTTAGTAATTCTGGCAGTCCAAAGTATTCACAACATTCTTCTCAAGAACCACATCTCAGTTGCCTCCAAACTCTTCTTAATTTGTTTGCTTACATTCCAAGATTCACTACCTTACAAGAAAACAGACTCGGTATAACATTTCAGTACTTATTTTGTGATGTTTAATGGGAGTGATTTATTACAGTTTACAAAGATGACAACTGTCTGTCTTTCCAGATGATAGTCTTAAAGTGTGATGAAGATAGAGATGAGAATTACATCCATTAAGGCTGTGTATAAAATTCCTCCTCTCCTTAACATAAAGTCTTGGCAGTATTGTAGAGATCAAGTTTTGCTCATGCAGTATGATCACTCGCTCGGCCATCTTTTTTCAGTCTGTAAATACTAGGATCCCCTCCTTAGTAAATCCTGTAGCATGTAATGGTTGACGACACTCCTTCTGTGTTGGTTTCTTATTCTTCTTTGGCTTCTTGCATGGTGCTCTTGTCTGGTCATATCCTTCCTGACCTGATGTTCTTGCCGTCTAGTCATAATTTCATCGCATGGTTCTCACAAACATATCACCTCTCGTAGAGCATTCAGTATATCAGCATAATGCATGGCTCGTCAGCCCTCCACATTAGCTTTACCTTTCTTTGTAAGTAAGTAAAGTCCAGGAAGATACCTACAGACTTGGAGAAAGGAAGATACCTGCAGACTTGAACACTTACCCTGAGAAACTTGGACTGTGCTATCATATTTACACTTTCCATTCCAAATTTACCAATGCCCATAACTGAAGAGATAAAAGATTTTTTTTTAAACCTCAATTTAAAAGTTAAAATTGTTTATAGTTGATTAAAAGAAAAATTAATAAAATAAATGTTCTTGAATTAGTTAAATATATGCTATCTCTGGTACTAGGATTCTACTGTCATGATCAACAATTAAGGGGGGGGGGGGGGGAGGGGGGGGGTTTGATGAGGTCAACATTATGCCTGTAACCTTTACTTTCTAGGGCATTACCTGGAAACCATTTAGGCTGGGGCCAACATGGAAGTCAAAATTATGCCTGTAACCTTTACTTTCTAGGACATTACCTGGTAACCATTTAGGCTGGGGCCAACATGGAAGTCAACTTTAATTTTGCAGGAAAAAATCATCAGTTTTACAGAACTGGCTCATTTGTACGCAGACTGTTGGTATCTTGGCTCTCAGGCGGATGCACTCCAACTTTGAAGCAAGCTCCCAGTTAGACAACTCTTACAATATGCTTGTTGGGGAGCCCAACTGTTTATTTTTCTTCTTCTATTCTCTATTCTCCTTGAATGCCTTGTGACATCAGGGCAGAAAGACATCTCTGAATCAGGCTCTTCTTTTTGCTTTGTATAAAGTACTTTTCAATGTCTCTAATATTTATGCGGTTCATTTTCTTCATGGTCGACCTCTGGGTCTGTTACCATTGTATCTGTATAGCATTGCTCTCTGTAGTGCTGTGTCTGATGGCAATCTTGTTACATGACCAAACCATTTGATTTTGTTGCCTACCTATGAAGTTCAGTATTGGTTCTCTGCTGATTCTTCTCAAAATATCATTGATCCTAAGTCGATGTTTTCTCGTTACACTAGCACAGTACGTAAACATTTCATTTCTGTCGCAACTATTTTCCTTCTGTCTTCTGAAGACAGTGTCCATGTTTAACATTGATAGCAGAGCTGTGTTGAACAGTGTTCTTTTAGTGTTTATATTTACATGCTTGCATTAAAAATTTGGCCTAAAGGTTTATTCTTGTTTTTCCCAACCATTGGCACCTTTCGTCTCTCCAGACGATAGTGTTATATTCTGCTATGAGGAGGCATGAGACTCACAGCCCATGGCGATGGCGAGTGTGACTAGCAAGACCCGCCCGCATCAAGAAAAGTCTTCCACAATGATAGCATGGGATTTCAGGACCATTGTTAACAACATTTGTGTTTAATCCGTTTCTTTTCAGACGCTCAGCTCTCATCCTTTCTGCAATCATTTCTTCCTTCAGTCTCAATCCCTTCCTGATATGCCCTTTCCAAACAACATGTTCCATGGCATTTTGTTCCCATGAGTCCACCTCAATACCTGTATCATTCATGTCCCACATGCACACATCTTTATAACGTAGTAGAGGTCGGCCTCGACGTCTTCTTCCTGTCTTTAATTCACCATAAAGGATGTCCTTAGGGACTCTGCCATCCTCCATTCTCCAGGTGTGACCCAGCCACCTGAGCCTTCGTAGACTGAGCATGGAAAAGACTGTTGTAGTACCTGCTCTTTCCAGTACCTCAGTGTTTGTGATTTTGTCCTTAATGCCAAGTATTCTTCTTAGGCATCGCATGTAAAAGCTATTAAGCCGTCTCTCCTGGTGCAAATAGGTTGACCAAGTTTCACTGCCATAAAGCAGAGTGCTGAGAACACAAGCCTGATAGACAATGGTTTTTGTTTTAATTGCGAGCTTTCTGTTCTAACAAACTCTCTTTGTCAATTTGTTCATTACTGTTGCTGCCTTACCTATCCTGATGTTGATTTCTTGGTCCAGCCATAGTTTACTATTCACTGTGGAAACCAGATAGGTAAAATGGTCTACTGTCTCAAGCTCTTCTCCGTCAATGTGAACTGTAGGTCTGTCATTGACACCTTGCACCATAAGGGAAACACAAAACCCACATGGAGAAATGCTTATATTGATACTTGTCCTTTTTTCTACTGAACGATGATGTGTTTTTGATGTTAACATAAATATGTCATCATCATCAAGTACCTTGCCGACTGGCATGGGCAATCAATGTGCGATCTGCAATTGTGTGTATCAGTTTGTATGTTGATACCCCTCCATGCCATGACAAAAGACTAAAGAATTTTTTTACTCTGTCTTCCTCTATCTCTTTTTCCACAGATCTTTCCAGTGGTCATAAATATGTATCTGCGAGTAAAGCCTGGTAAAGCATGTTATAATGACAAAGTTTATCATAGGAAATTCCGGGGAAAAAACCTAGTTAGCATAAATTATGTTGCCAGCCAAAGCTTTTAAGAAGGTCACATGCCAGAAAAAACAAACACAAGGTTTAGCCTGACTGTTGCGAAACATAAGAATAGGCAAAAGATGCTAGGATAATGCATGGGATTGAACGGATGATGACAAGTGTGAGAGAACTAAGAACATTCTTGGCACTTGGAAGAGCTGACTGGAGGAATGAATCTGTGTGAACCACAAAGCTGCACCAACCCAAGCAGCCTACAGCAGCTGTGAATATCTGGCCATATTGTCCATGCCATGCTGGATGCCAGCTCATGATTGCTAGCAATGTCGCCTGCATGTTTCAATGGGAACCTGAGCTTGCCAGTGATTGTGAAATTTATATGCATGACACTGTGTTGCGTGACTAAATAACTCAAGCTGTTTGATAGCTGAGCTGAATGGTCGTCAGTAGCATGACTAAATAACTCAAGCTGTCTGATAGTTGAGCTGAATGGTCGTGTGTTGCATGACTAAATAACTGAAGCTGTCTGATAGTTGAGCTGAATGGCCGTGTGTTGCGTGACTAAATAACTGAAGCTGTCTGATAGCTAAGCTGAATGGCCGTGTGTTGCATGACTAAATAACTCAAGCTGTCTGATAGCTGAGCTGAATGGTCGTCAGTAGCATGACTAAATAACTCAAGCTGTCTGATAGTTGAGCTGAATGGCCGTGTGTTGCGTGACTAAATAACTGAAGCTGTCTGATAGCTAAGCTGAATGGCCGTGTGTTGCATGACTAAATAACTCAAGCTGTCTGATAGTTGAGCTGAATGGCCGTGTGTTGCGCGACTAAATAACTGAAGCTGTCTGATAGCTAGGCTGAATGGCCGTGTGTTGCGTGACTAAATAACTCAAGCTGTCTGACAGTTGAGCTGAATGGTCGTGTGTTGCGCAACTAAATAACACAAGCTGCCTGATAGCAAAGCTGAATGGCCGTGTGTTGCGTGACTAAATAACACAAGCTGTTTGATAGTTGAGCTGAATGGTCGTGTGTTGCGTGACTAAATAACACAAGCTGTCTGACAGTTGAGCTGAATGGTCATGTGTTGCGTGACTAAATAACTCAAGCTGTCTGACAGTTGAGCTGAATGGTCATGTGTCACGTGACTAAATAACTAAAGCTGTTTGACAGTTGAGCTGAATGGTCATGTGTCAGGTGACTAAATAACTAAATCTGTTTGACAGTTGAGCTGAATGGTCATGTGTCACGTGACTAAATAACTAAAGCTGTTTGACAGTTGAGCTGAATGGTCGTGTGTTGTGTGACTAAATAACTAAAGCTGTTTGACAGTTGAGCTGAATGGTCGTGTGTCACGTGACTAAATAGCTAAAGCTGTTTGACAGTTGAGCTGAATGGTCGTGTGTCACGTGACTAAATAACTAAAGCTGTTTGACAGTTGAGCTGAATGGTCGTGTATTGTGTGACTAAATAATTAAAGCTGTTTGACAGTTGAGCTGAATGTCGTGTGTCATGTGACTAAATAGCTTAAGCTGTTTGACAGTTGAGCTGAATGGCCGTGTGTCACGTGACTAAATAACTAAAGCTGTTTGACAGTTAAGCTGAATGGTCGTGTGTTGTGTGACTAAATAACTGAAGCTGTTTGATAGTTGAGCTGAATGGTCGTGTGTCTCGTGACTAAATAACTAAAGCTGTTTGACAGTTGAGCTGAATGGTTGTGTGTTGCGTGACTAAATAGCTAAAGCTGTCTGACAGTTGAGCTGAATGGTCATGTGTTGTGTGACTAAATAACTAAAGCTGTTTGACAGTTGAGCTGAATGGTCATGTGTCACGTGACTAAATAACTAAAGCTGTCTGACAGTTGAGCTGAACGGTCGTGTGTTGCGTGACTAAATAACTAAAGCTGTTTGATAGTTGAGCTGAATGGTCGTGTGTTGCGTGACTAAATAACTAAAGCTGTCTGACAGTTGAGCTGAATGGTCGTGTGTTGCGTGACTAAATAACTAAAGCTGTCTGACAGTTGAGCTGAATGGTCGTGTGTTGCGTGACTAAATAACTAAAGCTGTCTGATAGTTGAGCTGAATGGTCTGGTCATTGATACAGATGTCCTGGATCAGCCAATAAACATTTGTGAGTTTAAACTTGTGTTCCAGCCCACTGATCATGACGTCCTGAGTGTCGTTTGTAACTTTTGCTTTGCCTACTGGGACAACTGTAGTCCTAGCCCTCTGTAATGTTACTAGGCCATCTTTATGGAGTGCATGACTGATAATGGGGGGTGGGGGGTCATCCGGTGCAGACATCTCAGCTTAACTGTAAACCAAACACAACATGCCAACTCCCTTTTAGTCAATTGTAGAAGAAGAAATGCATATGCTGATACTTCCTTCTATTTCTAATGAACAATGACAAGTCGCTGATGGTAACATCAATATATAAGTAAAAGTACCCTTTTCCACACCTATATTTTACAGAGCAATCGGCACTTGGTGGGTGATGTGGTCAGCACCTTTACTTCCCAGGACTGCACCTGGTACCCACTCAAGGCTGGGTCGACCTGAGACTCAAGATCATTTTTGGAAAAAAAGTCTAGCTCGGCCAGGACCTGAACTCAGGATCTTCCGATCGGTAGGCGAGCGTCTAGCCGCTACACTATGGTAACTAGTAACAATAATATATACCTGGGAGTAAAGCTTGGTGAAGCATTTCTGTGTCATGTTTGAGGTAAAGATAGGAGACATTATATCAAACTTCTCAGTCAGCAGGGATACCTTTGGGTGGCTGCTGCATCAGAGGACTGAGCATGCATGGATATGCTCTGTATGCAGTGGTGTTGATTGTGATAACATAACATTCTTTCTTCACGTAGCAAATAATCAGTTTATTTTTCTTCTGCCCTGTACTCTGCCACTAAAAACCCCTCCTCTATCAACTCACACTGTCATCCTATCTTTAGCTCTATCCTTTCCTGTCACATGCAGCTAAACGTTTGTCCTCCCTATCTTGTTAGATTCTTTAAAAAAATATAATCAGCACTCACGGAAAATTCCAGAAGTGTTCGCCGAAATGCCATCTACAAACTGAATTTTGAAATCTGTTTTTTCATATCGATTTCCCAGAACTGAAAATATACACACACAAAATCATTAACAAGCAGTAATTGAAACAAATCACTATCAAGTAGTAACTAAAACAAGCCATGAACAAGCAGTAATTGAAACAAATCACTAACAAGTAGTAATTAAAACAAGCCATGAACAAGCAGTAATTGAAACAAATCACTATCAAGTAGTAACTAAAACAAGTCATGAACAAGCAGTAATGAAAACAAATCACTAACAAGTAGTAACTAAAACAAGTCATGTATAAATATGTTTAATTGGTTGCTGAATATTGCCCATTGATCAGTTTGAAAAAAAATTTAATATGAGACTCACTGCCCCTGAACAATAAGCTGTTGGAATTGATTATGTAGTAAGCCTCATTTTCTCCTAGATAAATTATGTCCCAGACGGAATGACGTCAGTAATAAACGTGGTGGAATATTTTGAGTCTAACTGGGACAACACGTGAATTAAAGAGAAATGCTGATAGTCTAACTTCACGTGAATTGAAGAGAAATACTGATAGTCTAACTTCAGGTGAATTATAATTATTCATGGGGGTCACACAGAAACTGCTGGCCAAATGGAATTTGTGTAAATCGGAGAACACGAATTCTGAAGCACGAGGAGGGCATTAGAAGGTTATATAATGCCTGAGAAAGGTCTGGTAGTCAGACTCGTTTAGGCCTAGGAAATGAATACATGAAGTATGATGGAGTGTCTGCAGGATCCAGAAAGTGTGTTCAAGTCTGATGTGTCTGTACAGTGTTTTTCCAATGCCTACCTGGCCATCAGTAGCGGCGAACAGAAGTCGTAGCCAGTTGAGAATGTTTGTGTTTTGATCGGATGGACTCGTCGTTGTTCATTCAATTGTTGGATGGAATGTATATTATAAGGTAAAGTTGACATGTTAGATGAGTGAGGATAGATATGAGTGACTATGTCGTCCAATAACATTTACTGGCTGCAATACCAGCGAGTGAACAAATAAACAACTGTGTAAGTGTAATTTGGATCGTTCGCCATCGTCCATGTTTTCTCGTGTGTTGTCAGTCAGTGAATGGAAGCCTGCAATGACTAGAGCCAGAAGAAGACAAAAGAAAGTCATTGCAGATTAATTAAGGATATTTCCTTCAAAGTCAGACTGAATATGCCTGAGAGGCAGGGAACCAACAGCTGCATACAGATAAGCCAGATCTGTAAAATGGAGGTGCAAATAAGATTCAGGTTATGGAACAAGATTAAAATCCAGAAATGGATGAATAATCAGAACTTTACAGACTAGCAGTACCGAATAAATGTTTACAAGAAAGTAGCAAACATTGATTATCTGGTGGGACTCCAGGCCATTAGATTCCGTTCTGACTTAACAGGTCGTGTCGAACTAGTCACAAGTCGAATTTACATTTTTCAACACTACTTTCCTTTAAATATGTATACATTTTTTTCTCTCTCTCTTGTCAAAGCAAGTCATTTGTGCGAGAGATGGATTATTTTTAAATTAGAGACTTACCAACTTGTAGCACAATTTAGCAACATTGAAGCCAGGCAGTGGCAGGCCTGCAAGTCCATACAGTCTGATGTCTAGACCCAGTTGTACTCTAGGCATCAGTTCCAGGGATGTTTTTATTATTTGTATCCTATTTGTGCGTGTGTGTGTGTGGTCATAAGTTGAGGAGGTGTATAACTAGCTAAAAGGCACCCCACGTGGGTTGCAGGTCCACATTCTGGAGGAAGACAAGAACAGACCTACTGCCCTTCAGAAGCATATCATCTCATAGGGTCTGCTCAAATAAATGTGCTGGGCCAAAAATTGCAGGTATTGCAGTTAATTTGTAAACCATAACATGTCAACTGGTATTTTGAAAGTAAATGCAGAATAAGAAAAAGAAGCTACAAGACAGCAGGTTTGCTATATCTCTCTTCCTCTAATCTTGACTACCACACACGTGAAAACTAAATGGTAGTTATGCCACTGACTGAACTGCTTTTGGCATCAGTGAGACATGCAATGCCATTTTATAAGGTGGTGTCACAAAAGAGGCAGTTAACATTTTATTTTACTGCACTAAGTTTCTTAGCATCATCTGCGTTCTGGGGCCTGTAAGCGACACGGTGAGCTAAGCTGAGTTTATCACCCTGAGAAGGCTAAAGCTAGGCACTTTCGGTTGTGATGACATCCCATAAATACTGACATATCATCATTTCTGCTACAGCCTGTTCTCAAAAAGTGTAGTTAAATGTCACTGGTTCTATATGCATCTGCATAGAGTTTTGGAGGCCTGGATGTGAATATATTAACTAAATATAGCATTTAGTGGTTTTCAAAGAATCTGCCTACAAGCCTCAGTGCTGGAGGTCACAGGATAACTGCATGAGTGATTAAATACATATTTGTTTAAGGCCCATGAAATGCAATCAACTTAATACTTCACTCTGTTATGGTTTATTAATTACTTTTTTTTATCATCTTTATATATTTTTAAATGTAAGTTTAAACAAATAAAAAAAAATTTTTGAGTCAATTTATCAATTATTAGTGTAAAATGGTTTTTGAGGACATTTCTACACGTTCATGGCCCAATTTTTCAGCACTCATGGGGTGGAAGGGTTAAGAACCGACATCACAGCACTCTGTATATTCCCACAAGTGCTCCAATCTATCTTCAGCAGTTAATTCTGATGGTACCAGTAGCAGTCTGTTCATCTTGCCTTTTCTCTGAGTGTTGAGTGTTGGTCACAGAAAAACAGAGTAGTAACACTGTGATCTATAGTAACCTTTTCCCCCGAGTGTTGAGTTTCGGCCAGGGAAAGAACAGAGTAGTAACACTATAATCTATAGTAACCCATCCACTGAGTGTTGAGTGTCGGCAAGGAAAGAACAGAATAGCAACATTATAATCTATAATACATGTTTTAACAAGCTATTAATGAGGGCTGGCATGGAACTGGCTAACTCAACCTGTATGAAACAGCTGCAATATCCCACCAGAGAAAATGTGGTGCCTTATGCAATTAATTGCATGTGTAACTACTGATCTGTTGTAACTGCTGCTTCCATCGACAATGAACTGCATTTCTAGTGCCAGTCTTTTTGTGTTGGCTTTTCTGACGGCTGATTATGCACTTAATAGGTGTGTATGCCATTGTCTTTGAAGAGATGGCAGCCTGTGTCCATTTTTCCACAGGGAATATTGATGGACATTCTGTAAGGTTTTGCTGACCCAGGAATGGAGCAACTATGAGGGTGACCCGTTTGCTAAGAAGCTGGAACTTCAATTACCTGGTCCAACTAGTTATGAACAAGGAAGGAGTGAGTGGTTTAGAGCAGTACTCTCTAACCTGAAGGACGCGAGGAAGTTGGGGAGGGGGGAAGTTTCAAAGAAAGGGGGGTGTGGGGTGTGAGGAAGTTTAAAAGAGGGGAAGGGGTGTGAGGAAGTTTCAAGTAGGCGGAAGGGGGTAGAGGAAGTTTCAAGTAGGCGGAATGGGGTAGAGGAAGTTTCAAGTAGGGGATAGGGCTGTGAGCAAGCTTTAAGGAGGGGGAAGGGCTGTGAGCAAGCTTCAAGGAGGGGGAAGGGGGACATCATCAAGCAATTTTGAAATTGAATTAATTTTTACTTGAAATAATCAAGATTTTCAACTTTACATCATAAAAACAAAACAGTAATGCTGGCTTGATGTAGAGAGTGATCTCTGTTGTGCCTTGTCAAAAATCAAAACAAAAATAGTAGATATTATCCATATAAAACAGTTTCAACCATCGCATGGACATTTGGACACTGAACTAACAGTCGTTAGCGTGTTTTTTTTAACATTCTGAATTGTTTGCGTATTTTCTCCAAATTCTTGTCAACAGTATGAGAGATTTTTCTCTTTTTCCTCTTCTTTTTTTAATCACATTTTGTTTTGTTGTTTGGGGCGGGGGTCTTTCCATATACTCCAAGGTGGCACCACCTGGAAAAGGTTGGAGGTCAGTTTTACAGCTGATATTCCACTGAGGAGCAAAAGGCAGGAGAAAATCAAGACTCTTCTGAGGAGACTGAGTACCAACCTAATCGGTGCTCGGACCAGTCAACAATGGCCTCTGTCTGTGTTTCCTTTGACACATCCTTGACACTGATGTTTTCTGTCACTCCAGCCTGTCCCAAGGGAATCTCATGCTGGTAACAGGGAAGAGCATTCAGCTCTGTGAGCAGAAAAAATGCATATGAAAATATAAAACACAACTGATGAGTACTAATCAAGTTCAGCAATAAATATTTTCAGACAATTATTAGGAATCACCTAGCCAAAGGATATCTTTTTAAAGCCCATAAAATTTAGCTGTAAAACAAACACATATATGTTTATGAATAATATACCTTCAATAAAAAATATATAAACAGCATCTAAATAACATACTACTTTATTATTACAATTATATATCAGGTACAGAACTAACATACGACAATCACGCATAAGTAATCCATAAATGTTAGCACACAAATTCAATAAATAATTGTATAAATGTTGCAAGGAATAACATTATTTAAATGTGACATTAGTTGAAACATTGGAAAACCTATGTGTAACTGTCTCCCTTATATTAATCTTAAAAAATATCCTACAACTGTGTTCATGCTAGCTGTACATTCTGTTCTTGCTTTATACTTCTAAATCTCTTCCACACATTTTATGACAAACCCACACTCATGTCTGTTTATCTAAACTCTCACAACTTCATTTTCGCTTCACATATACATCCTATCAGGGCTTTATTTCTAGACAAAAAATGAAGCCGTTGCTCACCAGAAAGTGTCCAATCAAAGGTGACAGTGCTCACAACGATGTGTCTTTAAAAAAACAACTGGTTCACACCACAAAGTGTCTAAAAAGTGCCGGTATTCACAACAAAGTGTATTATGCCCGAAACAAACGAGGCCTAAAATAAGGGTGCAGGTACTGTCTACCATTGCGTACCACAAGACAAAAGACCCTGCATGCTTCAATGACACAATCCAAACACAATGTTATCCCACTGAAAATTATAATAATGAGGGCAGAAACTATATATTATCTAAATGACTGCTTGATTCGATGAAATGATTGGTTTCGATGAAATGATTGGTTTGTCCCTTCCAGGATGCTACTTGCAGGTTTACTGCCCTGAGGTTAAACAAATCTGAATCGGGATGGCCGACCAAAAAGGCAGATCCCGGACACCCTGTTCAACCTCTAATAGTTATAATAAGAGCACTTGCAATGTGTGACCTGCAATCTTGTTCATTAGTTGCCTGGTATATATGTGTGTGCCCGGGCGTGTGTATGTCTGATCTTTTTAGTAGATGTCTTTTTAAAATCTGCTGAAGTGGTTGAAATAAAAAAATGAGTAGCCCCTGTTAAGGTCAGATTTTTAAGAGCATGCATCTTTCCCATTGCAACATACGCCTGTGAGACCTGGACACTTACTAAACAAGCGGAACAGCGCATAAATGCATTTGAATATAAATGTTACAGACAGGTTCTAAGAATATATTGGGTAAAGAAAAGAACAAATGCATCCATACTCCAAGAGCTGAATATTGAAGAGGGTTGGCTAGTAAAGACAATAAAACAAAGAAAATTGAAATATTTTGGTCACTTGAAACGTCATGGAAGTCTAGAGAGAACAATAATGGAGGGGTATATGCCTGGGAAGAGAGGAAGAGGAAGGCCAAGGAGAAGATGGGTACAGGATGTGGCAGATGATCTCCAGATGGGTGTATCAGACGCAGGACATCTTGCTCATGATAGGAAAGTTTTCCGGAGGGTTGTTATGGCAGCGAGGTTCCGCGAGGGACATGCTACTGAATGAATGAATGAACCCCTGTTACATAAACAAAAAGATCATGTGACTAATATAAGATTCTATGGTGAGATGCATAGTGTAAGGAAGGTCCAAGTGATTGGTGCCTTTTAATCAAAGGGATTCCTTTTTGTGTGTGCTTTATTACATTTTGACTGACAATCAGTATGAGGGGAAATGTGACGTGTCTAAACCAGTGTGCTTGAACAACAATTAGCATCTATATCTTAACATGTGCTGCAGGAAATGAAGCATCCATAGGTACGCCCGGTATGTTATGATGTTGATTCTTAAATCATAAAATTCTCTAGTATGCACAGCAAAATATCTGGCAATAAAGTGTACAAAATATATTATTTGTCACTTCTTTGGTCCTGTGATGAGAAGGAGAAAAGTGCAGTACATCGTGACAGTAGGAAAGTTGGAGAGAAGGAAAGGCAGAGGGAAACCAAGAGAACACATGCTGGATAGTTTGACATCAAGGCATGGAGCATCATCTGTGTCAGAACTGACCGAAAGTACATGAGACAGAAGGTTGTGAATCAACATGACTACCAACACCATAGACTTTGAGAAGAAGAAGACTTTATTGTTTAATCAGTCTGTGCTTTCATGTGAGTGTCTCTCATCTTACTAACCCCTTGCTAAATTGAGTTTTACTGTTTCCACGACTTTCCTAGCTGGAACCTCTGCTGGCTTGTAAACACATAATACACCATTTAGCAAACGGTAAGCTGAAGGAGCCCAAGTGAAGCGAGACATCTGAGGGGAAAAAACACACCTTTAAATTAAAAAAACAGGCAACAGTGAATTTTGTACAATGATCTATTAACTGCTATAGTCCCACACAACGTATGCTGTGTGACTGGTCTATTTAGTTTAATCCCAACTATTATGTTGTTTCACATGTTATATTTGGTAGAGAACACAACAGAAATCTGACATTTCCGCTGTGTTTTTAGACTCTTTTCTTTTTTCTTTTTCACATTTACCAGTTGTAAACCCCCGGGGAAGTTTTGATTGTTCGTCCACTTCTGAACTTTAGTCTTGCTCTAGAACTTGAGGTTTGTGTGCATACCAGTTTTATAATCTGGTTAATGCAGACTACTTGTTCCTTGCCTCTTATGAAAATGCATTCTGACTCTGAAGGAAACCTTCAATTAGCCCACTCTTCCGACAAGCTTGTTACAGTAGCAGTATGTCTATGTTTCCCCATCAATGGGCACCCAGAATTGATATGGGTATAATGTCTTTTGAAATATGTTTGAGGGGTCTCCATGGCTAAGTGGTTAAGACCCTTGCCTTGCACTCCAGAGTCTGTTGGTTCGTTTCACAAACTGAGTTGTATGGTTCAAGAATGCTATATCTGTACAGACCCGTAGGGAATGTCAATGCAGCTATGAAATAAAAGAGCATTTTTCGTTTATTGAATCAAGATCATGAGAGCTGGATGGCATAGCGACCAGATGCTTGCCTGTGGGCATGAAGGTCCTGGGTTCAAATCTGCATTGAGAGATACTTTTTTTAACGACGTTGGCTCCCAGGTTGACCCAGCCTCAAATGGGTACCAGGTACAATCATGGGAAGTAAAGGCGGCTAGTTTGATGTTGACCATATCACCCACCAAGTGCTGATTCATATGTAATATATAGGTCTAGTCCTATATACATGGAAAAGGGTTCTTTTATCTTTTTTTTTAAAATAATAACTGACATGGTTTCCTTCACTTTGCATTCATCTAAGCCACATGTAAATCATTTACCCAGACTGGGATGCAGGGTACCAATTGGTGTCTCCCCCGCCCCACCTCCCACCCACCCCTATGATTATGTAACGGAGCTAAAAGGCCTCTTTTAACCATGCATAGAAATTATCTTTAAAAGTATGTATTTTATTTATGCTATAATACTGATGATTATCTGAAGATTCTATTTATTTGCTATTCAACACATTAGTATTATTATTATTTTTATTATTCTTCTTTTCTTCTTTTGTCAAAATCTGCTTGTGCCGCTAGGCGTCGCAGTCTATCAGATGATCGGCAACCGAGCCAGGGCGCGCTCAGTCGCTTCATATGCCGTGATGTTATGAAGTCTCAAGTTGTCCGTGACTCCTTCAATCCATCTTCTTCTTGATCTTCCTCTGCCTCTTGGTGTTTCGATTTTCATGTTGTATGCTCTTGATGCTGGCATCGCTGGTTGCATTCTCATTAGGTGACCAAACCATTTCATTCTTTGCTTCTCAATAAATTTAACGATGGAAATGGTTCCAATAGTTCTTGTAATCACATCTTTTCTATTTTTATAATTAATGTGCTTAATAGCAAAATAATGTAAGATAATTCTTAAAGCTATGCAACAATAAATAATCAAAAACAATTCTTCTTCTTTTTCAGTGTTCGGAGCCCTTGAGGTTCATCGCTGCAGATATCACCCGCCTCCACTCATCTCTCTGGTTGGCCTTCTCTTTCCAGTTGGTGACACCAAGTGTTTGCAGGTGTGTCTGGGTGTTATCTCTCCATCATCTTCTTGGTCTGCCTCGTGGTCTATGACCATTCAGCTCCCTTGTGTATACAGTTTTTACTTCTTTATCATTTGACTTTCTCTCAATATGCCCAAGCCATTTCAGTCTACTAGATCTCATGATGCTTTAAACAGATTTTGAATTTCATTGTTGCTTCTCACTCTCCATTCCCTGCTGTTTGCTCTTTGATGGGTTCAAAGATTCATCGTAATACTCTGTTTTCTAAAATTTGTAATCAGGCTTCATCTCTTTTAGTTGTGTCCCAAGTTTCAGAGCCATATAAAAAGACTGGTCTTATCAACGTTTTATATATTTTGATCTTGGTGTTGCGAGGTAGGGACTTTGACTTTAGCAGATGTTGAAGGGCATACATAGTACACTTTATTTCTAGACTGTATTTCTTTTCTCAGCACATTGGAGTAGTTGAAGTTTGCTTCCAAATACTTATATGTTTCTGTTCGTTTGATTTTCAAATTATCGACTTGTATGTGGCTGGAGTTTATATCCTTTACCCGTCTTGTTGTTATCATGTATTCTGTCTTATCTTGATTGATAACTATTCCCATTTTGTAAGCTGCTTCTTTAAGAGAATGTTTAGAGTCAAGAGTTCATTTTCTCCAATGAAATCAATGTCATCAGCATGTTAGGCTATTTGCTTGGCTGCCACAATATCGGGTAGAAGTTTGGAGGAGAGCCCAAAATTATAACGGATAATAACCCAGATATGTTGAACATGATATTGTTGATTAATTTACTACTACTACTTGAAATAATATGACATGTTTTGTATAAATTACTTTAGTGCAAAAAAAATTACTTTTATAAAAATGTTTATAAAAGGATTAGGACCGAAGAGGAGATCCCTGTTAATTGTACTAGTGGTTACAGAAAATGTATGTAACCAGTTAACGGGAGGGGGGGGGGGGGGGGGTGTGTCCTTTTTAGTCTTAGTCCCTTACTTCTTCTTCTGCGTTCGATATCAGTCATGCTAAACATTGAGTCCCGTCTGGGTCACAAATAGGATTGTGCGTTTAAGGTCGCCACCGGTCCCACATAGCTTCTCTTGCAATGTGGCTCCTTTGGGCCAGATCCACGGTCTTTGCTGGGAGAGGTTAGGGTAGTACTGTAGTATATGCTCAGGGGTCTGTCTTTCTGCTCCACAATCACAGGCAGCAGATTCTTTTATGCCTATCCTGTACAAGTGTGCTCAAAGACCACAGTGTCCAGTCCGAAGTCTAAAAATTGATGTTTGTTCTTTCCTGTTGAAAGTCCCTTACAAAATTATTGGGCCGTTTGCCATGCCATCCAGGAAGTTACTTCTAAAGTCGCAGAGATAGTCTATTCTTCTGACTACTGGTAACAGCTAGGTGGCAGGTCCACATATAAACTCAACCTCCATAAACTAGCTGTATCAATGGCTATCAAGTGTAGAGTGTCTTCACGCAGATGTCAATCGTAACTTAATTAAGAAACCAAAATCTTTTAAAATTTATTATGAAATTTCCGCCCCCCCCCCCCCATGGCACTTTCTTGTTATGCTCGTGAGTTTGTTCAGTTTGAGTGTTGCGTTTTTCTTTCAATTTCAGTCGTTTCTGAGAGACAGTTTCTCATTCTCACTCACACTCACTGTAGTGTAGTCTGTAGCTTTCCCTTTAGTTAATTATTAATACAAATAATACAATAATAATCCTTATGACTTGGGAGACTAAATTTTACCTGGTCAGTTTAAGAACAGTGACTAACTAAATACTTACCACGGGTGATAAATCCCGAGATGTAGCACCAAAACACAGGAATCTTTAAGAAAACCTACGGCTATTTACCTAGATCGGTCACGATCAAACTTCGTCTTACAGGGGACACACAGGCCTGCCCGACCCGGAGAGTAATGATGGTTACTCGCAGTTTTCAACTGCTACTACGATTTGGACCAGAATATTGTAGTACAGTTTCAAGTTGCAATATTTTGATTCTTCTGTTATTAATTTTTCCTTTTTTTTTAACCGCTCGGGTGTCGAGTGAGATAAAAGGTTCTGTTTCCTGTGCTGAATTGTTCTCTTATGTCCTACCTTTTCTGAGACATTTACAGGGCGTTTTGTTTAATGGTCGAACGCAACAGTAAGCAGTATTGACATAATTTTTTTTTTTAGCAAATCATAAATAATAGATACTTTGTAGTGAGTACCGGCACTTCTTAATTTTTTGAAGACACTTTTTAAGGATTACCGGTACCTTTTCTTTCTAGGAAGAAGCCCTGGATATTTAAATAATAAAAAAACTATCTCCAGACAAAGAATTCACCATCAGGAAAAGCAAGGCTGCGACAACAATCAGCAGATTCCCCGTATGGGTTCAGGGGCCCTGTTATAGGGAATACAAGAATAGACCCACTGCCTGCCCAAAAGCATGTCGTAAGAGTCGACTAATTAGGAGCTTCCTTCGAAGTCAGAGTGCATCTGCCTGCGAGGCAAAGAACCAACAGTCTGCATAAAAATTAGTCAGATCTGTCAAACGGATGCATACACAACACTCAGGTTCTGGAACGTGACTGCAGTCCAGAGGTGGACGAACAACCTGAACTTTCCTACAGAGTTTACAGCCGGTGAACGCGAAGAAGAAGAAGAATCAGCAGATTTTTAAACAGTTTATATTACTTGTTATTAGTCTGTATCAACATCCTAGCATATCCGTCCAACCCATTTGTGCTCCATCCTCCGATGAAGCGGCCATCTATGTCTCCATGCTCACTGTAACCAGTAAGAGTTGGCTGGTGTATCTTCAATCTTTGTTTCACAAACTTTCTTGTCTCTCAGGCTTGTGTTTTCAGCATTTCTTTTTATGGTAGTGAAACTTGGTCAGGCATGTAAGGATGTGCTCAAGTGCTTGGCTCTGCAGCCAGCAGTGTTGATGTTGGCTAGCTTCTCTTCCGAGAGGTCAAAAGTGATTTTAAGCAGCCTGCCAACAACCTACAGAGCACTCAGGTACCCCCCCCCCCCCCTCCCCCCAACTCCTCGTGGTGCAAACAGGAAAACTGAAGCCTCGCATGGGAGGGAGGGAGCACCAACAAGGTCCTCCCCCCCCCCCCTTGCCCCATTTTGAGACTGGCCTAGCAAGCTGGCAGTGGTGTAATGAATCGCTACTACACAAGAAATAATGAATTATAGGACACAAAATACTGGGAAGAAGCTGCCATGATGTAGCAGCTAGAAGGTCATAGGTTTAAGTTCTAACGGAGCCTG